TGTTTAAACTTCCAATATATATATAGAGGGCCCGTTTGGTTCAACTTTCCAAATGCTACTTGGGGGAATGCAAATACCTTTAGGTTAAAGTTCCTTAAAGAAATGCAAGTGGCGTTTGGTAAGAAATCATTTGTAAAACTACTTTAACCTAAGTAGTGTTTGGTAAAAAAAAATTTATAAAAGGGCTTTGGGAATTATCTTTTTTATTAAAAAAAAAAAGACCTACCCTACCCTACCCTACCCTTTGCCAGAGCCAGCGAAGGCCTACGGCCGCCGGCGAGCTAGATCTAGCGTCGGGGATCGTCGCCCGAGGCCAGGCGACCCTCGGCAAGGGTCGCACGACCCAGGCTGTCGTCGTCTGGGTCGCGCGACGCCGGCCACTTGAGTCGCGCGACCCAGGCCGGCGGCGCCTAAGCGGTCGCACGACCTCAGGCGGCTGTCGCCTGGGTCATGCGACCTCGCCGGCCCAATCCGGTGTCGGCCGCCCTCGCCAGCCTCCTTCGCCGGCCGCCTCACAAAGAAGATGAATAGTACCAAGGGGGGCAAAACCGGAATAAGCCAAAATAAGTGAGGATAATTTGGGGACAAAAATTTTAAGATCAGTATTTGTGGAATGCCGAAAGCCCAAAGCTGGTCCGGATCAGCTTTGGGCTTTCGGCATTCCAAATGCTAGGCCAAAAGCTGAACCAAACGGTTCAGCATTTTGGGAATGGGTTTTTGAGGCCGAAAGCCCCTTTCCAAAGCTGAACCAAACGGGACCATAGAGAGAGAGAGCGACCCAGAAGCCTGAATGGCTGCTTCGGATTTTTTAATTTGCTCTCCAATAGGATAGTACTCTTTATTCAGTTCGACAACCTGACTTGCTAATGATAGCAAGGAAGAGATTTGGCTATCTTGAAACTCCCCACAGTCCCGAGTTAGATTGGGTTCCCCAGCCGAAATCGCACTCCTGTAACCATTTAAACTATTATTGTCTGTTTTAGCCCTAGACTCAACAAGTGGGCTAAGGAACTTAAAAACAAAGCCGACAGCCAAGCTTGAACTGTAAGTAGGATCCCTTGTTCCATAGTCTGCCACAATAGTAGCGTTAACTACTTCAATTGCCTCTCTTAAGACGCTCAGGCTCAGCACTTTTCCAGTTAAAGTTCCCTCGACCTGTCTTGCTCGTATAGCATCTTGAGTTCCATAAGCACCGAAAGCTAACTGACAATTGTTTATCATAATTTCATGAAGAGCCTAACTAACAGTAACTTCAGCCAAGAAAGCTGCATTTAAATAGGGCAATGCGTTCCCAAGAGGACGTGGTGCAGCTCGATATGTTTCAAAAAGTAGTCTTTTCGTGGCTTCAGAAGCCGTACTTCTTCTCAAGTGCCAAGTCGGGATTTTAATACGTAAAAGTACACTTTCGGAATCCAACGAAGACCTTTCCAAAAATTCCTCCTATGTGAGCCTTTCTTGCTTGGGTCCGGACATTACAGTCACCTGTGAATCTACAGCAAGAAGTACAGTAGCAATATCTGAAGGGAAATGAAATCTCTGAGCCATCACTATGTTTCCTCCCAGACTTGCTGTGTTCCTGATAAAGCCTGAAGCGATCTTCTCCATGTGATCAGCAGCTTTTCTGAATATCATTCCACCTTCTGTGGATGACATACATTTGCTGAGTTTCCTCAATGCTTCAATAGCTTTAGAAATTGTCACAGTTGTCCCAAATTCAATTCCTGTTTCATCCGTTTTGACAAAGGCGAGCTCAGGAATATTCCTGAGATCAATGTACTTCTCCCATCGCTTGACTTCCTTATAGTAACCCATCCCCGTGTTTCCACTGACTAGTTTTACGAGGGAAGCATCGCTGGTCCCATCAGTTTCCAACAGGCATCGAAGATCTTCAACAGTGGTCGGAGCATACCAGTCATACCTCTTAGTATCCAAGGGCGTAATAGTGGTCGGAGTATACCAGTCATACCTCTTAGTAGCTTCAACAGTGGTCGGAGTATACCAGTCATACCTCTTAGTATCAAAAATTAGTTTATGATATATTTGGCATGGGGTAATAGTTTGGAATTTTTTGTGATACAAAAAATTTGTTTTGGGTAAATCTGACTGGAATATACCAGTTGGAAATATTTTGTGATACAAACCCATTATAATAGCTGGAAAAGTTGGTCCGGGCTTTTTGCAAAAAAAAATGTCATGTCAATAAAAGAAGGCAACTGAGGAATTCATTGTTATCTTATCTTATCTATATAAGCTGAAGTGATCAAGGTTGAAAATTCAAGTCTTAATTGACAAAGTCAACAATGGAGCTGGTTCGGGCAGTGTCATCTTGAAATCTTTATCAGGTGATAGGTCAATGAATTAGTTCTCAAGTAGTCAATTTCCCAAGTCAATGGAAGAATTTTAAAAAAAAAAAAAAGGCTTGTTGATGATGGAGCAGTTATATAGTGAGCTATAATCATGTAGAAGATATGTTATAAATATGTTGAATGATCAATCTAACCGATCAATTATTATAAATTAGGGACATGGTCCACGGTTTGGGGTTGAAGTTCTTTATTTAGTTAAAATAGATGTATGAGAGAAAAAGAAAAGAAGAAGAGTTTGAATGCTATTAGCTTATTTATAAATTCAAGATTAGGTGGATTTTCATATTCGACTTCGAATTCTTCAAATGACATTTTCTTTCGATCTTTACGACGGTTAAATTAAAACTTGAGACCATATCTCCTTATTCACTATTTTCATGTTCCTGATGAATTAAAGTCTACGTACTTCTCGCCTGTACTTATAAGCTTATTGCGAGTGGATAATAGATAAACTAATTTTCATTTTCTTTCTTAAAATTTTGGGGAGTTTAATAAATTTCACTCTAAGTAATATACATTTAATTGACATAACTTATTCGAAAATTAACCTGGATAAATACCAATTTAACTTATGTAGTTGACCAATTGTGGAATACTAAGCTAAGAAATTAAAACTCATGATCGTATCTGATTTATGAATTTCTTTTTTCAAAATTAAAGTTAGTGAGAGAAGTCGAAAGAGATAAATATTTGAAAATGGTAATACGAAATCATTTAAAACATAATAATATAAGAATGCATTTGAATACGGCATCATTGTTTGACCAAAAAAAAGTATGGCGTGATTGTGTCATCCGTCAGTGAATTGAATAAAGATGGCAAGTGAGGTAATTCAATACGTAAATTATAAATTTATAATTTTATTTTGATTGAACCCTTCTTCTTCTTTTCTTTTTTTTTTCTTTTTTTTTTGAGCATATGACGTGTTCAAACCAGTTCCTACTCTTAAGAGTCTAGATTGAGCAATCTTCTAAAGAAAATGACACAGAGAAATGTCAAGAACTCTTTGTAATACGATCCTGAATTTTTAATTTATTCGATATATTCCTGAATTTTCTTTTTATTTAAATATCGGTGATTTGACAACTCATATGGGATATTTAAAAAGTGAGATTCATATATCAATCGCTTCTCTTTCAACATGTTCTTGTCAATTTACTTGATAAATATTGAGAAATTAGGTTGTTTAGCAATTCTTAAATGATTGAGATTACTTAAAGCTTTTAGATAGCTAAGCTAAAAAGCCCCTTCCTTGTTTTCTTGGGTTTTTTGTTTTTTTTAAGTGGAATGGCATTCCAATAGGAATCCTCATTCCCCTCCTAGGGGGAAATCCTGATTCCTTTCCCATAATAATTTTTCCTCTAAATAAAATATAAAAGAAATCTGTTATTAATTAATATGCATAACGATTGGTAAAATATTAATTTTAATTTTTAAATTAGAATAATAAAATATGGATTTTCGTGATTTATATTAATTAATCACGAGCAAGGAATATTTAATCAAACATGTAACTGTTAATATTTAATCAAGATAATATATTTTTTTAAAAATATAACTATAACTTTTTATTTATATTGTCGTTAGCATAATTTTATTTTATTGTAAGTATGATTTTAGCACGATGTTTAGTAAATTATTTTATGTCTGTTGTAAATTCTTTATAATTGAGTCAAAATAAAGAGATCAAAAATTTCTTTCTATTTTAGATCATTCTATTTGCTCATTCTGTTCTATTCCAATTCATAACGTCATGGCGAATACGAAAAAAGTTACGAAGACAGAGGACTAACGATAAAAGAAGAACTAAAAGCGGACCAAAGATTATTATAAAAAGGATCCTATCAACCGATTGATTCAATAAATAGATAAATCGATGCTTTCCGTGGTTCTCACCATCCTCATCAATAAATCAATTTAGGCAATTGGAATTACGGAAACATACGAGATATTTAGTGCGAAAATCTAACATTTTAGTGATTATTGTTATGTTGATCAATAACACGATTTTTTTTCTCACATCATTTAGTCCTACCATATTTCGTTTCCTATAGTTTACCGACATAATCACACATAATTAGGAAAAATAAAGCCAAATTCCTTGGCAGTTTAAGTGAGCTTGCCTTATTTCTATTCATATCATAGACGAATGAGAATTGAACAGTGTTTTTGCGCGTGCTTCGCGACGAAGCTATTCATCTCGATCCTAACCTATGATTACCCCGTGAAACATACTCACGATGTTGAAACAAAAAAGGCATTTGCAAAGCTTTTACACTGTCAGAATCGGGCTTGTTTCATTAGCGAGAATTTATACGAGCAGCCGATTCGCACCGTCAACAAGATACGACGGAAAACACCAAAAGAATTAATAGTACTAAACGAAAAATAATTGCTCTGAAACTATGATTATTGAAGTCATGATCGAAATGGCCCACGACCAACCTGGGTACCACAGCAAACGTAGGAATTCTCGAAGGGGAATCTCGTTCTCAGTAATTTACCTGAAGAGCCCAAAAAGAGGAGGCAAAGAATATTAGCTTTTCTTCATTCATGGAGATGAACAAAGCATACGTGCAGCCCTTGGACAGCCAACCAAAAAGGCTTAAAACACCGAACTATCATCATTCAAGGGGAAAACCAAAGAATAACCAAATCCCAACGGAAGCAATCCTCCAATCTGTGGCTTGTTGGGTTATAAAACTCGCCAATTCCAATCCTTCTTTCCCTCCTCACGAGACAACAAGATCTTCTCTAATTCGGAGCGATACACGCACAGGAGAACACAAGAAGGCCGAGGATGGACGCAAGAACGGCGGGCCGCGAGTACGAAGACTTCGACCCAACCACAAACTGGGCGCTCGAAGACACTTCCGACACGCTCCTCATCCATCTGCCAGGTGATTCGAGATTCGGGTCGGGGCATTTAGTCATCGTTTCTTTGAAAGTGGTTAGCTAGCATCTTTGAAAGTGGTTAGCTATCTCCTTTAATTGGAAGTCGGCGTTATGCTAGCAAATAGTCTTATCAGTCAAAAATCAGCTTAAATGGAATGAATTGGGCACAAGTTGCCCGCTAATCTGATGGTGACTCGAACAGGTTTCAAAAAGGAGCAACTGAGGGTTCAAATCTCAACGGCCGGCAATTTGAGGGTCATGGGAGAGCGTCTAGTTAGCGGTAACAAATGGAGCCGATTCCGCAAAGAATTGCCTATTTCATCCAATTACGATTCAAACAAGATTGGCGCAAAATTTGACAACGGCATTCTTCATGTCAAATTTCCGAAGATTATCGTTCCAGCCGAACCCCGTAAAGAGGCAAAACCAGCAGTCCAACCTACTAAGCCTCCTGAGCCCACGCCTACGGCAGAACCCCCAAAAACCGGTCAAAAACAGGATACCAAGGAGCCACCGAAAGCAGAAAAAGCACCAGAAAAAGCGCCAGCAAAACCAACGGAGGAGGAGAAGAAACCGAAGAAATCGACAGAGGATGAGGAAAAACCCAAGGAAGTCAAAGAAGAGAGCAAGAAAGCAGATGAAGCGAAAATTAGACCGGAACAGGCTTTACAGCAGAAGAAGAGAGAAGATTTGGCTGAAAAGAAAGCAACTGAAAAGGATCAAAAGCGTGGCGATACTGCAGACATAGGCAAGAAGATGGAAAATGCTGGGGGTTCCATCGCGAAGCTGAAGAAGCCAAGATATTTGCTGAACACCCTGGTGGCAGCTCTACTAATTGTGGTGCTTGGCCTGTATGTGAAATATGCACTCAGGTCTCTTGGAACAACCAAATCTGACCCAGAACTTTAAGCTTGCAAAAACAATTTGTTGCTCCACACTTCATACAGCATGAAATGTAATACTAAGTGTGACAAGTGAATAATGTAATTTCTACATATAATAAATTCTTAACTGATTCTTTCTATTTTTCATCCCAACTGACCAAATTTCCCATGAAACGAGAGAATTTGGTACAAATGAACAAGTTCATGATTCCATAGGAAAACTTCAGCTCTTGACATATGATAAATTCCCTTTATTATTATTTTTTTCCTTTAAAGGGGGTGGGTGCGAGAAAAAACGATAAAACCACTGAGAATAGAGAAATGGAGAGAAACCCGCTCGAGTAACCAGTACACATCCAAGAACTATGTATACATAATCAACTTGCGTGACATGAAAAAACAAGACCAAAATGTGGAACATTCATCTCACTAAAAAAGGAAGGGAGGGGGGCCACTTATTTGAGCTTTCGACTGAAACTTCACATCACAAGGAACAGTAACATCTGATAATTACCTAGTAAACTCACTTAGCACTGGCAAGCTGGGCGCGGAGGAGCTTGGCGGCAGCAACCATGTTGCTCAGAGCAGGATTAACTTCAGGGTATTTGCGGGTTTTGAGGCCACAATCAGGGTTGACCCAAAGAATGTTGCTCTCAAGGACCGCGAGCATCTTGTTAATTCTATCAGCAATTTCTTCTGTGGATGGGATTCTGGGCGAATGAATGTCATAGACACCAGGACCAATGCCAGCGCCATATTTCACTCCTTCACGGAAAACTGAGAGCAGCTTCTCATCTGATCTGGAATTCTCAATGGTGATCACATCAGCATCCATGTTGATTATTGAGTGGATGATGTCATTGAAATTTGAATAGCACATGTGAGTATGGATCTGCAAAACATATCAGATTAGCTGTTCAGAACAAAAGGGATGCCGTCCTCGCTATTTTTTCCATTAAAGCATAAGACGGGAACTAAAAGCTTGATTCCCTCCATAAATCCTTACTGCTAGTTCATGCAGTGAATAACTAATAAGAAGATAGCAAGATAATAACACTCTTCACTCAGACAATAAAAGTGCTCTCGATTGTAAAGAAATCTACTAATCGGTTCAGCAGTTATTCCTAAATCTACAATGGATTTCAAACTTTTTCCAAGCAGTGGCAAATTCAGTCATCAAATAAAAAAGAACTAGAAATTAATTCCTAAGCTCTCATTCATCACAAGAAAGGAAGAATGAGTGGGATTATTAAAATTGACCTTTTGGGATCTATCATCGGTTATCAAGAAAGGAATGGAAAAGTAACCTGGGTAGTATCTTTAACACCACAATTAGTTATCCTGAATGAGTGAACAGCCCAGTCAAGATAGAAGGCCTGCTCAGACTTCCTAAGAGGCAAACCCTCTCTTAAAGCAGCCTCGTCGATTTGAATAACAGTGACACCAGCTTTCTCAAGATCCTCAACCTCATCCTTAATAGCCAGAGCAATTTGATAGCAGGTTTCAGATCTGCAAGAGCCAGGTATCTTTGAGCAACAAAGGAAACAAGAGAAGCCCACTAATTAGCAGGTTGAAAAAAATTTTGCTTCCTTTCTTTTCTCTTCTCTCCTGTCCTCTTCCTTTTGTTTACCTTTGTTGGTCATTTCTTACAAAAGACCAGTTCAGAATGGTAACAGGACCAGTGAGCATTCCCTTCATAGGACGTTTTGTCATGCTTTGAGCCATTGAAGACCAAAAGACTGTCATAGCCTTGGGGCGGCTGACATCACCATAGATAATGGGTGGTTTAACACATCGTGACCCATAAGATTGTACCCACCCATTGACAGTGAAGGCAAAACCAGACAATTGCTCACCAAAGTACTCAACCATATCATTCCTCTGCATCAGCAAGATCCAAGAAAGAACATCAAGGAAACTTGTAAGCCTTCTTTCAAAAAAAAGTACTTCATACATAAATGGGCTTCGAATATCCAGATTATACGAAACCTCACCTCAGGCTCTCCATGTACCAAAACATCAATGTCAAGCTCTTCCTGAAGCTTGACAACTTTGCTAATCTCCTCCTTGATGGCCTTGACATAATCATCCTCAGAAATCCTAACATTCCCAGAGAAGTACAGCTTATGAATCAGACAAATTGAGGACTGAAAGTGAAAATCACTCTGAACCATAGCTGGCACCAAAGAATATTGCTTACTTTTTGGCCTTGTATTCCCTGCGTACTTTTCTAAGCTCCATTGTCTGAGGGAATGATCCGATGGTGGTGGTGGGAAGAATTGGAAGGTTCAGTTTCTTCTGCTGAGCATCTAGCCTGGCACTGACATTTGTGGCCCGGCGGTGATCAGAGCCCTTTAAAGCAGCAGCCTAAGAAATACATTTCCATGAATCAATGGGAACTGTCACACTGGGCTTTCAGAATCTCAGACGGTAATAGTTGGGTTAAATTACTCACAGCCTTTTGGACAGCCTCATTTGTCACCCTTGGGGAGTACTTTCTCGAACCTTGGGCCGCAGCATTAGTAGAGAAAACAGTCTGGAGATGCTCAGAAAACAACAAAGAAAGTGAGCTTATAATAATGTGCCCAACTTATCCAAACCAAAAGACTAAATATCATGAAACAAAGGGACAGAGGCCCCGTTTGGTTCAACTTTCCGGACTCCGAAAGCCAAATGCTAGCATTTGGAATGCCGAAAGCCCAAAGCTGGTCCAGACAAGCTTTGGGCTTTCGGCATTCCACAAATGCTGAAACTATTTTTTCCCTTCCCAAACTACCCTCACTCAAACTTTAATATTCCGGTTTTGCCCTCTTGTTACTGTTCATCTTCTTCACGAAAGCGTGGCCGGCAAGGGCAGCCGACGACACCGAATCTCGACAGCAAAGGGCCGGCGAGGGGCCGGCAAGGTCACCCGACCCAAGCGACGGCTGCCTAAGGTCGCACGACCGCCCAAGCGCAGTCGGCCTGGATCGCGTGACCCCAGGCGGCCGTTGCCTGGGTCGCCGACCTCCGGCCTCATCGCCTGAGGTCAAGCGACCCCCGGCAACGGCCGCCTGGGTCGCGCGACCCTCACCAGTGGTCGCCTGACCTCGGGCGACGGCCGCCGACGCCAGATCTGGCTCGCCGGCAGTTGTCCGACCTCGGGTGATGGCCGCCGGCGCTAGATCTGGCTTGCCGGCGGCCGTAGCCCTTCGACGGCTCCGGCGAAGGGTAACTTTTTTTTTTTTAATAAAAAAGGGTCCCAAAGCCCTTTGCAAAAAAAAAATTAGCCAAACACTACTTGGACCAAAGTAGCTTCACAAAGAATTTTTTAACAAACGCCATTTGCATTTCCCCAAGAGGCTTTCACCTGAAGGTATTTGCATTCCCCCAAAGCCCCTTCCCAAAGTTGAGCCAAACGGGCCCAGAGCACAAGCAGCAAAGTTTGTTGCTTGGAATGAAGGAATGTTTAAAGTTTATCACATAACAACTGAAATAAATTTGATTCCTATATTGCAGGCAAATACAATCAAACAGTCACACATAAACACATAACATTGTATATGTCCTTCCTTTTTTTTAATCAATTTGGAAAGAAAATAAAATGCTCATAAACAAACTCAGCATCTGCCATTACCTCATCCTTCAGTCCAAATAATGCCTGGGCCAAGGCATTTACTTCAACAACTTTTTGTGCAGCAAATGCGAGCCATGACTTGATCTCTTTATCCAATTTAGTTTCATTTACTAGGTCCACAGCAGTGTGAAGAAGAGAACAGGATGTTGAAACAACAACCTTATCTGACAAAGGTTATATACAAAGCGTTAGTCACTTTGCAAATAGATTTCAAGTTCAAGCAAAATTCTATAACTGTGCTATGATATATGCATACCTTTTCCAACGACACCTTCAAGGGCTTGCAGGGTTTTGAGAGATGAATCCAGATCATTAGCCCAAATGTTTCTTCCATCTACTACTCCAGCAAAAAGATATTTGCCAGAAGGAAATCCACCTTTAACCAAATCGAGGGTCTTTGTTCCACGAACTAGGTCAAATCCAAAGCCTGAAATGCCTTTCAAAGAGGTGAGTGTCTTGTACGCCTCTGCAGGCACCTCAGCAAAGTATGTCTCAATAAGAATACTCAGGCCAGACAAGGATGACTCTAGCTCTGAGTAGGCAATAGTAAAGGCTTGCAATTGGTGAGAATCGAGATCCATCACAAGAGTTGGCTCATCAAACTGTATCCAGGTGGCACCCGCTGCCTTCAGTTCAGTAACAACCTCCCTGCATAGACAAAATTAGTTGACGCGACCTGAGAAAATTCGCTATCAATGAACCACAGGTCAGGCAACTATTTCAGAAAGGCTCAGCCCCCTACTTGTAGATTGGAAGAATCTTTCCAATAAGGGAGAGAAGAGAAAAGGATTTCTCAACACCCTTAGCAGGTTTGGAAAGCAACAAGTAGGACACAGGGCCGACAAGGACTGGAACCGTATCAACTCCAAGCTGCATCAGAGAGAAATTTAAGAGCTTCAGGAAACCAAGGAGAAACTGAGAAAGAGAGCACAACAGCAAAGTGATAAGCTGATTTAGTATACTTACAGCTTTGGCCTCCTTGAACTCATCGACTGCCTTATGAGATGCATAAGAGAACTTAACATCTGGTCCTAGCTCAGGGACGATATAGTGGCTGTAAATAACAAAACAAGAACATTATAACCACTCCACAGGCACAGCAACATGAGAATATGGATATACTGGCAGTACGGTCACAACATGAGCAGAGAACTCACTAGTTGGTGTCAAACCACTTGGTCATTTCCATAGCTGGGACAGAGGCATTACCCCTAGCCATGGAGAAGTAGGTGTCAAATCCAATCTCACCCCCATTCCAGCCATATCTGGGAGGAACAGCACCCAGCATAGCTGTGGTATCTAACACCTGATCATAGTAAGAGAAAGTATTGCTGGGAATGTATTTGATTCCTGCAGTAGCCATCTGCTTCCAGATCGATGCCCTCAGGTCAGCTGCCACCTTCTGCAACTCCTCAGCACTGCTCTTCTTATCCCAGAAAGATTCCAGCGCAAACTTGAGCTCTCTCTTGGGCCCCATGCGAGGATAGCCAACAATGTGCGACGCCATAGCTCTGTTTCGTAACATTCCGTCAGATACCATTTCCATGAAGAAACATAATCGAAAAGGTGGATGCACCATGCTACAATCAACCACTTAGATATACTTCCCCAATACAGAGACGTCACATAATCATACATGTTAGTATAACTGTGATTTATCTATCTATCCTCCCATCAACTTGCATATCAACCCGACATCCCCCCCCAGCATAGAACGAAAGAACAGACTCGAGGTTATTCTACATAATTACAAAACTGAAAATGCCAGCCAAGTCACAGCGAAATTACGGCGAACACCTTGACTCGGGAGTCCCGCGCCGGAGAGGGAGATTAAAAATACGAATCAGCAGACCGTCGACCTGACTTCCATTTCAATCCTCTCATTTGGGAACACGTCGACGAGCTCACAACTATCTCCCAAAAAAAAAAAAAAAGCGACCAAAAGAAACCAAAACTTGCGAAACGAAACCTCCAGCACAGACCCCACGGCTAGACTCATCCATCCGGAGCATTCGAACCCAGCACAAATGCAACGATCAAACCACTTCAGGCTTCAGCTACTCTTCATCCATCAAACCCTCAAAAGCCCCAAAAAAAGGAAGGAAAAAAAAACAGTCAATCGAGCACCGCGACTTCGGACCCCATTAAAAAGCCTATATCGGAGGCCAAACGCGTCGAGAACAAACTCGTTCCGACCCGCTCCTCTCGCCTCTCTCCCTCGCCGGTCAGATCAATCAGAGAGCGAGCAAATCACAGGCGGCGGCTCCGTCGCCGGCGCGGGGCCGGGGACGAGCGAGAAGCGAAGTGCGTGGGCGTACCTGACGGGGGCCGGACGGGGAGCGAAGCGGAGGACGGAGAGGCTGCGGCGGTGGGGAGTGCCGGCGGGAGAGCGGCGGAAATGGAGATGGAGAGAGTCGACTGAGACGAGGCGGAGAGGAGACGGAACGGACGCGCGCGAGTGGAGAGGGACCTGGCCCATCTATTTATAAAACCGCGAGCCCCGCACGTCTTCTCCCCTCTCTCGCTCGGATCCGACTCTTGCCCGTGGTGGTTGACTGGTTGGATTTCTTTCTCTCTGGTGATTTTTTTTTTTTTTTTTTGATAATGACGCTAATAACTCCTGACTTTTGGATTAACGTGCAATATAGTTCCTGAATTTTTTTTGTACATATTCAATTTAATCTCTGAATTATATAAAAATATTCAATGTTGTTACTTCTATTATTAATTCAAATTCAAAGATAACATTGAATAATACGATTTGGGAACTAAATTGAACATGTACCAAAAAGACTAAGGATTGCATTGAATAAATTAAAAGTTCGGAGACAACTTTGCACATTGGGTTAAAGTTTAAAAACCCTACTGAATAAATTTAAAGTCATATTAAGCCAAAATTCAGGGACCAGTTGTATTATTTATCATTTTTGGAAACATTAATTAATTTAGTTGTTTGTTTTTGGGTTTTGGTGATTTCTTGCTTTTTGTGGCCTCATAAATATTGTTTAGAGAGGTATATGTACTTCTAAACCATTTGAGGGGAAAGTAAGGCTCTGCGAATCCTCGGATCTTGACACATGTGACATGCTTAAGATGAGAATTGGGCCCGTGCGAGTCCCGCTTGAAAATTGACGTGATCATAACACGACACATATATATTTCCACCGGAGCAAAATTTTATATATACAAGTACGGCAATGATAGATTTATCTTCTGAAAACACATGGATCTTGACTCTTGATATTCGGAAAAAAACCGTATCTTTCCACGAAATGAATTTTGACGTGGTGAGTATGCCTTTAGGTGGCAGACGGGGGTGGTGCTCTCTGCGGCGGTGCTTAGGTGGTGGTGGGTGGTGTTGAGATAGAGAGAGAGAGAGGGAGAGAGGGGCGAGAAGAGACCGGAGAGGCGACGACAATGGCGGTCGGGGACAGCGGGTGGGCGCGGCGGAGGTTGGTGATGATGGCATTTGCAATTGTCATTAAAAAAGGAAATTGATCATCGATTGGGAAATGGTAGTGGAACGCTGTTAGGCCACTCAATCGGACAAAGGTGCATTACAATGCACTCGAAACATAACGTATCTATCAATCAGTGAGAATTGCCTTGAGTTTTGATAGTGCAACCATCCAAAAATTGACAGAAGTTATATGATGATGCGAATTATTACTCCAAAGATCAGCGGGAATTCAAGTAAAATCTGCTCGGGTCGGTCAATGATGTTGAGGAGCTACTGCCGGGAGATGATTCAGCATCATCTGAAATGAGGCCTCTCTCTTACCTAATCCAAAAACCTAGGACAATTTTCTTTTATAGCAGTTCGCCGGTGTTGAGATCGACTTTCGTGCACCCTTCACAATCTTACGGATGTACTTTTCCAAACTCGATACATTCATAATTTCACTTATCGAGTGCTCTCAACAAAGCTTGAATCTAAAAAAATGAGCAAACTTCCTCATCATCTAATTCAACACCTTCAAGTAGGATGTGTCCATTCGTGCGGATTCAATATTACTACGATTAAATTTATCAACTTATGATAGTTTGAAGTCACTTTTAGCATTAAAAAGTTGGTAAAAAAGACACTAATCACTTTTCGATATTACCAACTTTTGACAGTTTTAAAGTTACTTTTAACTTAAAAGAGTCACAAGAAACCGTGACAAAAGTACATATCTGCGATAGGAGAAAACTCACTTTTCTAATAAAGAAAGTTTCTGGTCAATGGGAAAGGCAGATTTGCAATCATCCACGTTTAATTGTGCTACCAACTTCTAGCAGTTTTAGAATTACTTTCCCTTTTTTTCCGTCAAGAAATTACTTTTACCTCTGAAAAGTTACTAAACGGGTGACAAAATCGCTAATAATCGACATGAGAAAACTTACTTTTTGTCAAAGAATATATAACCAACTAATGTGAAAGTCCTTTCTACTACGATATATATTAAACTTGCTTTTTCATAGGAAAAATTTACTGATCGGGTTAGTAGGACAGACAGCATGCTAAAATTGGCACGTCTCAAGACACAGTGACGCAACACAATCAGATATGATGACTGGACTCAACTCCTTATTCAAGAAAGACTTCAAATCACCACCCCAATGTCAATTCAACCGCATGATTTTGTTCCTCTTATTCGAAGTATATAACAGTGTATAAGCAAGTGTTCATTAGACGACTTATTACTGAGAACCTGACCACTGACCATCCTAGTATCATAGAAATTGTTCGCTACAGAGGCCATAAGCATGACAATTCTCAAGGTAGCTACCATTTGCCTCTCAGTAGACACGAGACAGATACTGGTAATAATTTACAAGAATGACACTTCCCCTCGAATATCGTCAACACGAACAGCCGCGTTCCGTTTCGCCGCCCGAGGCCGACTTATAACTACGTTCCCAAGTGTCCGCGGGTGCCGCTTGAGCATGAGGGACATGGCGAGGATGCTTCTCTCTCTTGTCTCCCTTTATTTGCTTCAACGCGTGCTTGAGGGCGGGCAACAAAGCCTCCATGCATTCAGCGACAGCATTTGGATTGCCGGGCATGTTAATGATCTGTGCATTTTTGGCATCACAATTTGCAATGAGCAGCAATCAAGGAAGTAGAGCATCTTCGTATTTCTAATCCCTTGCATGTTTGACAATATCAGAATGCTTTCACTAATATCATATGGAAACAGAGATACATAAGACGAGCTATATCACATATAATCGGGGCATCCCTAATTTAATATAACTAAAATATAGCGGTGAATTGGAAATTTTTTTGCGGCTCATCCTTAGGACTAAAAAATCAGGTGAAATATATGTTGCTATGTTTTAAAGGAAATTCATACTGCTTGAAACGAAAAGTTACCGATGCAGCAATTTCAGACAGCTAATAAATCAACACAACTTGGCTTCAACTAATTTAAAAAGGGTAACTTTCCAACAAATTAAATAATAGAACACTTACTGTTCAAAAAAAAAAAATAATAGAACACTTCAAGAAAAATCTGTATCTGTATCCAGAAAACTGCTCTTTTCATCTTTGGAAGCACAGCTATTTAAAAAAGTGCAAAAACCAGAGTCAGTCAGAGTTTTAAGGCTTCAAAAACTGTCAAAATGCTGGTTTGCCAATTTCCCACAATTTAGAGCTCAACACCAAGCGGGAGCAATTTGCTATTCTAATCAATTTACAGTAGGTTTGTGTAAAGGTTTGTAACAGAGGTTTTAACTTTTAACTGTGTAGACAAACAAACGACTTCCCAGATATAAATGTAATGCCACTAGGATTTTATTTCGTTGCACAGTGTCATCAGTTATGGAGGGAACTATTTGTAGCATTACCAATGAAGAGCCTCTTATTCCAGCAGCAGCACGGGAGAGCATGGCAAAAGGTGTCACCTAAGCAAATTAAGGACAAGCTAGTTCAGTAAATTAAGCTAAGTAGATTGACATCACCTCAGTACAGAAAAAGGTAATTTTGACACAGAATATTTCCAATAATAACACAAGCATAAGCATGTATGTTACTGATAGCTCCTAAATTAAACAGCAGTTGCTCAAGGCTAGTATGAGTCCCTTCCTATTGGTCATCGACTTCCTTTCGCCCAGACAGAGATCTGACGGTGAACTTCATACGGTACATTAAGTTTCCTACTCGTGATATTAATATAGTGAAATAAATCAATAAAGTGATTACACAATAAGAATAAGGCATCTCCTAAACAAAAATGGTGAAATAAACAAAAAAAAAATGTATTCATCTAAGTAGGACATCAACTCTCGGCCAAAAAGGAGTAAATGTCAACTGCAACTATCCCTTAAATCCCTGACAGACAACTTCATGTTGATGTCCTGCACAAAACTGCCACTCATCAAGGCATGTAGACAGAAGCAAGGAATTACCTTCAAACTTTCCTGCATCATTACATAGAGTAAACCCGGGGTTTCTTTTTCTATCAACTCCTTTGTTGCTTCAGGAGTTACATCCCTAGGAGTGAAGCCAGTGCCACCTTAAAGAACAAACAACAGTGGCAAAAATTCGTGAGAACAACGCGAAGGTAATTTCAAGGTTAGAAACAAGGTGAACTCACCAAGAGTGAGAATCAGATCCATCTTATCGACATCAGCCCATCTCTGCAGAATATCCTTAATTTTCGCCACTTCATCTGGGACCATGGCAGTTGCAGCTACTCTAGCCCCTCCTAACCTTTCTGACGAAGAATTAACGACTGTAACAGCCCTTGGACCACTGCAAGTTTGAATTAGTTCTAGATTATGTGTGTCAGCAAATCGTATTCTATTCTTTGAACAACTTATTTATGTCTAGAAGCTCTGAATGTTTAATAGAATTTGAAAGTGGCAATAGCAAAACTAGGAGCTAACTTTCGATTGACAAACATAAATATCAAATCCTCCATCACTTAAGACACAGAAATGAAGGTATAAATGCATATACCAAAGACAAAGTAAAAGAATTTGAAAGCAGCAACAGCTCCATTGGAATAAAATCCAAAATACACAAAAAGGTCAAAATTATCAACCTCTGTTTGAAATAGTAAGAAAGTAGAAGAAAAACACCAGAATTGATGATAGGACTCTATGCCCTTAATCTGCACGAAAAGTTCCCTTAATGAGGTGCAAAAAATTGTTGCAAAGCGTATAGTACTTCCAAGTCATACTTTGGTAGGAAGCAATATCAATTCTGCCATTTTACTCTGGCATCAGCAAAGTGACCTCTTTAAAATAATGATTTAAAGAGGTGTATCAAGATGCATGTCAGAGATTTCAGCCATATGTCAACGCCATGTAACAGTAACAAGTTGTGTCAGACCTACCACGCCAGATTAATTCACCACACACAGATGTACAAGCCTATTCTCCATCCATCGCAATTAATCGACAGGGAATAAAGAAAAGTGACTCCCTAAAAGCGGAATTCCAACTTTAAATTTTTTAAGTATGGTGAGGATTTGCTAACAAGTTACTGAATTTTTTGACGAATTATAATCATTATAATTACCGATTAAAACAAAATATTTGATAAAAACCTGTGAAAAGAGGAACAACTTCCAGAAGGATAACAAAGACATTTCCCAGCATGTTCAGCAATGGGTAAGCAGTAAAAGCTGCAGTAAGGCAACATTCTACCCCAACAAGTGAAATCATTGAAATGATACCTCCGATCAGGCCCAGCTCTTGATGCAACAGTGTCACTCACAGTCAAAATTGCAACCCTGTATGCAGCCTCTTGATGTCCATTAGCAACAGTATCGTGAGATGAAGTTACTTGCACCACAGAAACTGAATCTGGCAATAAGGAACTCTTGCTAGGACTGCTAACACTCAAATTGGATATTGCAATAGCTGGGACTAAGGTTCCAGCAGGTATGGCAGAGCCTGTTGCAGGAAGCACTAACAATGCATTTGCAGACTTCATGCTGAGAAGGCGGCTGCTCACTTGATGGCCAGTACTCTCGGCGACAAAACTGAAAACCACAAGTAAGTTGCCTACCAATCATTTCCACACATATTGGAAAGGCTTTCATCAGCCAATTCAAAGAAATTAGGCCCTCGTGGTTTGGTTTGAAACAACTAGAGCTCATCAAAAGGAAATAAAGACTGCAAAAAGACTAACCCAGGAGTGCCGGATCCATCATTCGCCAACCAACTGATGATGGCACGATGATACTCGATCCGGACTGGATCTGTCTTTATGGACTGCTTAAGACGTGCTTGTACTCTGTGAAGAATACACCAATTAAGAAAATTTTATTTAAGGCTTTTGTGCACCAATTTTTAAATGCAAGTAATTTTATAAAATAGCTACCTCAGAAGATCCGGGTTAGCCCATCCAGCAAGATATCGTATTGCTGGAACTACAAAGAGATTAAAACAGACTATACAGCTAACTGGATTTCCAGGTAGTCCAAATGCAAGAATTCTATTTGATGTCCTACTTTCAGCAGTATTTGCAGTAATTTCTGCAAATGTTAGCGGTTTCCCAGGTTTCATGCAAACCTGAAAATGTAATCAACACCAGATAGAAGGTTTATTTTCGTTTGTCATCAATTAAGAAAGTGACTGACATAGCTATAAAAAAAAATTTACTTTCCATCAAAGGAATTGCAGAAACTCAATAAATTAGTCTAAACCGATGTTTGCTAGAAATACTAAAATGCATGCAAGTAATGTGGAGAGTCAAATTTCCCAGGAATTTAGCTGAAAACTTGTGCATGGCCGATAGTTACCTTACTGAAAAATACTTTGCCCCGCTTTTCCAGCAAAGGCTTGACAAAGTCTTTGTCTCCCATGGAAACACCGCCAGAAGTCAGCAAAATATCAATCCCAGAAGAGAAGGCACTTTGGATGATCCTTTCAATTTCTTCTTCATCATCTCGAGCAATGCCAAGATCAAGAACTTTGCACTGCTGTTGCATAGCAGCAGCTAATAACGTTGCTCGATTGGAATCGCGAATCTGTTTAGCTAAAAGCATCTTGATCACTAAGAGTGCATCTCATGAACAACTAAACCACAAATAAACTGATAGAACAAACATGATTGAATGGTAGAGAAAAGGACTAGAGTATCCAGCGTAAAACACATGTCAGTACAAGGACGAGGGAGTGACCTCTCAACAATCCTTTGTACAGATTAATCTAAACATCCAATGTAGGAAGCACAACATCTATTCAATTCTCTGAAGCCATCAGCCACAGCACAGAAAGTCATACCTGGCCCTGATTCAGACACTTAGTCCTCGAATCCACAAGTTCATCTCCAGTAGAAAGGACGGCAACTGTTGGGTAAGGATAAACCTACATGGAGACATTAAATATTAACACGAGTATTTATCAGAGATAACACGCCTATCTCCGTGAAATCATAGAAACTGGCGAGCCAACTCTAGCAAATCTGCTTGAAGCCATTATTTCATGGCACCTTGGGTCTTCCCATTACTTTTTGAATATGCACAAGTAGATAAATGTGCGAGCGCGCAGGGTGTGTGTGTATGTGTGTGTGTGTGTGTGAGAGAGAGAGAGAGAGAGAGAGAGAGAGAGAGAGAGTATGATGTACTTTAACATTGGTAACTCCAACTGTAGCAAGTAGACCAACTTCCGAAGGACCTATCCTTTCTCCAGCTGTAAGTACTACGGAATCTCTCTCGATATCATATCCCTAGAGATGGCATTTAGAAAAAAAATTTCGACATTTCAAGCTTATTCTTTAGAAAAGAAATTCGATAACCAAGAAACAAAAGATTCAAGATTATGCCTTCACTAGATGTCAAAATTAAAGATCATACCACTGGACGAATCTCAACACCTTTGCTAGTTTGTACCAATATTTTCACTCGCTTTTGGTCAGTCAGGGAACCTTTCACTAATTCAGTGTCCTCAACTTGAACAACTGCATCAGCTCCATCTGGTATAGGTCCTGAAAGAAAGGTAATTGACTTGAAAATGGAAATTCAGCAAAAAGAATCTTGAATAAGCTGTACAAACTAAATCGGGCTAAGCTTTGTCAGATTCTTGATCCTGGGATAAAGGGATGTTTATCGGATTTCATAAACTAAAATATTCATGTGATTTAAATCTTATCGCAGCAAAAGGCCAAAAATTAAGATCCCTCACACCATCAAATGAAAGAGTTCCAAAGAAAAATTCTCCAAATCACACCTATAATTAGATAGACGATAGCAAGTTGAAGATGAACAACTCACCTCCAGTTGTTACATAAGCAACAGTTCCTTGAGTCACGGTAACTCCAACTCCATCATTTCCAGCTCTTGATTCAGTAATTACAGGATACTCACCAGGCCCATCTGAAGCAACTACGGCATAACCATCCTGCAAGCAATCGAATTCACTCAACGAAAAGTATATAGCTACTCTTTGACGTTCTTTACAAAACAAAGGCACGCAGAGGGCAGGATCCTATTTCCACAATATATGATGAGAGTCTTTGAGAAAACCTAGCAGACGACATCATACCTAAGGGGCGCAACAAAAGAGAAGTATCCATGCAACTAATCCCAATTAGAGGAAAAATGGCTCTGTTTATCGTTATTGCAAGAGCTAATTACAATCTCCAGACTGAAGATTGAAGGGGACCTACTGAATACTGGTTGAATGAGAGTCACAGAACCTCCAGAAGCAAGGAACCGAAGTTGCTATCCTATTACGACTTTACTCTACACCCGAGCTTTCTATTGCAGTTCAATAATGATTGTTCCAAGACACTGCCTCAAAGTCCCACTGCTGTTCATCCTCAAGATGATAAAAACATTTCCACACGAAGGCATTCATGCGACATAGCCCGCTTAAAATCCAAGTCACGACGCAACCGATTGCAGAGACCTAGCAGAAAGAATACCACAGACGGCCCAACGAATTGCTACATTAGCATCAATTGCTTTGAAAGTTCTAAAGAGCACTACCTATTCCCAGCAAAACAACAATCCGAACATCAAAAGCTACAGCGACTATTAACAACGCATACGATAAGTACGCTAGCCGCCGAACAAAGACGAGCATCTCGAACGTTCGATCATCCAACACGTACATCCGCGAAACCACCAGCGAAAAGCATCATTTCGTTCGCACCACGGAGCACGCACGCACGCACGCGCACACTTTCGAAACTCGAGCTCAGACCTTGACCGAAGCCGGATAGGGAGGCAGAGGATCCGGAGCTCGGATGTCCTCGGCGAGGACCTTGCCGAGAGCGTCGTGGAGAGGCACGGTGACCGGCGGCAGCCGCCGCGCGGCACCGAGGACTGTCCGAAGAGCTTCCTCAGGCGATATCATGGCCGGCTTGGCGGCTCCGGCGACGCCGTCGGCGTTTTCCGCCATTTTTTCTCTTTTTTTTTTGGGTTTTCCTGATGAGCCGGAAGCCAAGTGGGCGTGCGTAAAGGTGACCGAGGATTCTGATCCTAATTTGGCTTCTTTATAAGGATAAAAAGATAGAGCATCTACATTATCTATACAATAAAAAAAAAAATTCAAATAAGAACGTGAAGTCGACATATTTTCTTTCTTAGAAGCCGAGAGTAGATCGAAAGTGACCAATTTAGCCTCGAATAAGGTCTAGACCGCGTGCATTACGTTTTACTCTCTTCTCGTGTCGCCTTCCGAGCCCCGGTTATTTTCTGTCGCGTCGAGTTCCACGAGAGGCGAATCTTTTCTGGCTACGTGGTACTTTTATAAAAATATATATATATCGATAAATTAGAATTAGCCGGTGTTTAGTTATTTACATGCATTGATGTTGGAGAAGTGATTGAGATTAGGGTAATCAATTCCCAAACCGGATCAATCCAAGGTGAAACTAGGAACCATAACGAAGACGGGAACGATTAGTCCCAGTCCGGTTCCGGTCCAATCCAATGGAACCGGTCACTTGGGGTTTAGTTCACATTTTGCTAATTTTTGTCAATAAATTTAGGTCGATGAAGTTCACTTTAGATTTAGTTTATAATTTACTAAATTTTGTCAATGAAGTTTTTTTTGTTAGAAATTTATGTTAATGAAGTTCACTTATAGTTTGTTCATATTTTACTAATTTTTATGTAGTCAATCCGGTCTGGTCCAATTTTCCTTTGGAACCAGGAATCAAATCGCTTGGACACCAGTTCCACTTTTAGGAATCGGAAATCGGATCCAATCGGCCTGTTCAGTCTAGTTCGGACAGTTCCCGATTTGGATGATCCGTTCCGTAAACCCCTGATTGAGATACCATCGAGAGCATCGAGTGAGGAAGAGGATCACCATCCACAAGAGAGGATCACCATCCACAAGAGAGGATCTTCTACAAGACAAAGGGTGTCGATCATGTCTACCTCTATTTCCGCCGCTCACATTTGCCGATGCTTCCATCATCTCAATCATCGTTCCTTCAAGAGAGATTAATTTTAAAATTCTTCCCTAAAAATATATCAATAATCGAAATTCTTTGAAATGTCAAGAAAGCAATCTTATGGCGTAAATGATTTTCCTTCGACAAGACGGAGATCCTCCATCCGGACATGATCTTTTGTTAGTGGGTCGAGAAATCTTAACTGCTCGTATAGTCAATCACGAATTTCCTAAACAATGTTATTCATGAATTTATGGTATTAAGACATCGAATGGGACCCTAAAAGGAACACATAGCCAGTCGTAACATGGTCTTTAAATGCAGAATTTGCTTCACAATTCTCAGCAATTCCTTTTCCAAAAATGACCATTGACCATTGACCATTATCCATATTTAATGAAGTGAAGAGAATACTGGATTTCTGGAGATTTTCTTTTTGCCTTTTTCTGGGTGGTTTCCTAAATTCTTTGGCACACTAATTGCAGAAAAAAGAAAGTAAACAATAATAAAAAAAAGAATTGGCCCTACAAATAGTCTGTCGCATCTTCCTTTTACCATTTCCAGGGAAGAGCTCACACCGGAAGTTCTCAGCTTTTGAGGTAATCTCTGTCTCTCTCCTTCTGTTTTTCATTTTCATTTCGAATAGGAATTCAGAATTTTGACATGTCCTACCCACTTCAATTGATCGCTTCAAGATGATAGATCCGCAATTACCCTTTACTGGATATGCGTTCTTAATCATCGGATCTGGTGGTTCATGTGAATAGCAAGTCCGAGATATATTTATCATGAAGTTTATATCCGATCGGCGTCGATTCGCCCCCTTTTTTTCCCCTCTATTCGAGACTTGTACTAAGACATCTTGATTTAAGCCTTCCTCAGCGTTACAAATCAATTAACCATTGTGTTTTGTCACATTGTCGGGAGTTTCAAATCTTGAAGTTCCGCTTCTATTTTAATTTGAGCTTTATTTCTAATAATTCCGCACGAAAATTCATATAGCCAGCCAGTGCGAATTTTACTATAATTTCAGCCGAACTAAGCTCATGCAAAAATAAGACGGAAATTCACTCCTTCCGCTATTCAAAAAATTAAGCAAAAAAAAAAGCTCTAATTCGTATTTATTGGATATTGCAACAACAAAATAAAAGAAAAAAAGAAAAGAAAAACCACTGGAGCGAATTTCGGTTCATTCCAAGGCGCGAATTCCCTAAAACCACCTCCCGAAGCTCGAACCTTCCAGAACGCCGCACGTGCCAGTCACGTGACCTCATCATCATTCTCCCGCCCCCCGCCACGCCTCCGTCGGCGTCCACCGTCGTCGTCGTCATCCTCAGCCTCAGAAAAACCTTTCCGCGCAACGTCTCGTCGCGGAACAACCGAAAATCAGAAACCGAAATCGCCGACCCGAAGAGCCCCCCCCCCCCCCCAAAAATTTCGAGCCCTAATCCCCCAATTTCCCCCGCCCCCCTCCGCAATTCGAAATCTTCACGGCCTTCGTCTTTCTCTTCCGCGAAATCGAGCCCTCCAGTCGCATGGGCTGCGGCTTCGCCTGCAGGCGATGGCGCTAGAGGGGGAGGCCCCGACGATGATCGCGCCGCCCCCCACGGCGTCGCGGTCGGTGACCGAGACGGTGAACGGGTCGCACCGCTTCGAGATCAAGGGCTACTCGCTGGCCAAGGGGATGGGCGTCGGCAAGCACGTCGCCAGCGACAGCTTCACCGTCGGGGGATACCAGTGGGCCATCTACTTCTACCCGGACGGCAAGAACCCGGAGGACAACTCGGCCTACGTCTCGGTGTTCATCTCGCTGGCGAGCGACGGCGCCGACGTGAGGGCGCTGTTCGAGCTCACGCTCGTGGATCAGAGCGGGAAGGGCAAGCACAAGGTGCACAGCCATTTCGATCGGTCTCTGGCGAGCGGCCCCTACACTCTCAAGTACAGAGGCAGCATGTGGTGAGTTCTTTTTCCCTTCGTTCTTCTTTAATTCGTAGAATCTTTGATTTTTTTTTCTTTTTGTGTGTGTGTTTGGTGTGGTTATAGTTATGGTTTAAATTCGTAGTCTTTTGTCGCTTAGGTGGTCGTTTTCTTGCTGATTGTTGTTGATTGGAATGCTGTAATTGTGCCTTTGGATGAACGTAGAATCGAATGTGTGATGGAATGTGGTGGAATCTGTATCCCATTGATTCAACACGACTAATGATTGATCAATTAGACTGAGTGCTATCTCGAGATCGAGTATACCAACCGAATTGAAGTTTCGACCGTGAGAAAAGTCTGTCGATGTCCTCTTTCTCTTTCTTGTTCTTCTGAAGAACGGTTGAGGTGGTGGAGAAGTGAACATTGAGACCTCTTGCCCTCTATTTTATTTTGTATAGTGTTGTCTGTCTGATTAATTCCGAGCTGCAAGAGAATGAATTGCTTGTTTGCTTGCGATTTTTCATAGGGGATACAAGCGATTTTACAGACGAGCTCTTCTTGAAACATCGGATTATCTGAAGGATGACTGCTTGAAGATAAACTGCACTGTAGGAGTCGTGGTTTCATCCATAGACCGTCCGATTTTAAATGCAATCAAAGTCCCAAAGTCTGATATTGGAGCTCATTTTGGCATGCTACTTGAAAACATGGAAGGCTCAGATATTACTTTTGATGTGTCGGGTGAGAAGTTCCATGCTCACAAGTTGGTGTTGGCTGCTCGATCCTCTGTATTCCGATCTGAACTTTTCGATGGAGCAGGCGAAAATAAGCGAGAGATAGTTGTTGATGATTTAGAACCTGCAGTCTTCAAGGTATAAGTGTTTGTTGTTTACTTTGTTTGAAGAAGGCGCTATTGGAGATATGCCCTTCATTGTTTTCTCTAAGCTTCAAAGCTGCATTTATCATGATTCATGACCTAGGTTTCATTTTGTGCTGGACAGGCTTTGCTTTATTTCATTTACACAGATAATCTGCCAGAAGATGAAAAGGCAGTGACATCTTGCTCAGGTCATGCGTTGTCTACGTCTGAAACTTTGTTAGTGAAATTGTTAGCGGTGGCAGACAGATATGGTTTGGATAGACTGAGAATAGTGTGTGGGTCTCACCTCTGCAAGGATATATCTGTCACCTCTGTTTGTGAAATTTTGGCCTTGGCTGATCATTACCAAGTGAAGGAACTAAAAGCTGTTTGCCTGAAGTTTGCAGCTGAAAATCTTGCAGGTACATAATTCTTTTTTTCTTCTTGTCAGGAACAATGTTTCTACCCTGCATTCTCTTTTCAAGAAAATTCTGGAAGGCTAATTTGAACCATCTTTGGATGGGAAGTTGTCTGGTAGCACTATCACTTTTAATTTGAATCATTGATTGTTTGCTTGCTTATTTCTTAGTTGATCCTACAGAGTGACATCTGTTCTCTGTGATGAGAGATTCTGTGAAGATCTGAGAAACTTATAAATGGAACAGGTGTTTGGGGCTTCTGGGTTTGCTTCTGTATTTCTTTTTGGGTAAGCCATGTTTTTAGTTGGATTTTTTGGGGACTTGTTGCTATTGAAGGCGACATAGTTTTTCATATGAACAACAATTTTACATGATGCTTGACAAGAGGAAAAAAAAACCTTTGAAGAGAAGAAACTGTCCCTTTGAATTTTCTTGTGTCGCAGTAGTGGCAGGACATAACCCACCTTAAGTTCTGGCTTTAAGTTAGGGGATTGTGCTTACACAATCCTCTAGTCTGTGTAGGATTTCCCTGCTGCTTTAGTTTGGTAATCATTCTTAAAGGGTTTGAGAAACAAAATTCATCCTACCACAGGGATGGAAGAGAAGATGAGTGGAAGGCTTCATTTTTGCCTCAGTTTGGCACCAGGAAAAAATTTAATTCATGTCCTGGCTATGATGCTGTTATGTGATGTTTTTGCCTCGTTCTGTGGGATATCTGAGTGATTTTCTATTGTTTTGGGTTTTCTACATTCACCCTGGCTCTCTTACTGCAGCTGTCATGCGATCAGACGGCTTCGAGTGTCTTAAAGAGAACAACGTTTCTCTGCAGTCCGAGCTTCTTAAAGCAGTGGCGGTTTGCGAAAAGGACTTCAGCCCTGATGGTGGAAAAACTCGCAGCGTGTGGGCACAGCTCTCTGATGGCGGCGACAGCAACGGGAGGAGGGTCAGGCAAAGGAACTGATCCTATGCCATCTCCTTCCTGTAAATAGAGGTTGATGTGCAAATGGTAAAAAAAAAATGCAACTGTAGGAGAAAAACATTAACAATTGATCAAATGTTTGTCATGTATATTATGATGATTCAGTTTTAGTGCTGAAAGATATTGTTCATTTCAAAACGGTAGACTAATTCTTGCTGGTGTCTGAACTGTTGACTGTTGTTCGGAAAGGAAAAATATAGCAGTCTGTGGAGAAGTTTGAGTCATGTAAATACAAGCTTGAAATGAGAAACTATTGCATATTCGGAGATGATCCTTCTCTTTTATCAACATTTAATGAGGGATGTGATACGACATAGGGTTAGTGTATGGTATTTTGACTAGGGTTTTCCCTTAGATCCTTGTTATTCGGTTTAGAGGTAACCTCACCAAAGAAAGAGAATTGATGTTTCTAGGAGGGCTTTCACGACTTGCCCGTTTATATAGGGACGGCATTTTGACCAAGGGCTTTCCTTGAATCCTTGGTATTCGATTAAGAAGTAACATCGCCAAAGGAAGGGAGTCGATGTTTCTACGAGGGCCTCCGCAATTTGTCCGTTACAGAGATGGCAAGCTTCACGGATGTGTTCCTTATTTCAACGTCGTATTTGTCTTTTCCAGGAAAAGGGAATACCCTTTGAAAGTGTCTTATATCCCGGTGACTTCGAGGTCCAGACAATAATCAAAATATAACCTTTCAAAAATATGCTCAGGTCCAAAGGGATATGATACAGCACAGGATATGTAAATGGCATTTTGATAATAAAATAATATTATCCTGTCTTTGCTGTGTATCCTGTTCGAGTTTGCCAGTATTAAAGTCGGCAGTAGATGAATGACTATCTACATGGAAATGGAAATGAAAAAGAGCATTAAGTGCATTCATTCTCAAATTCCTTCTTGGGGAAGGTAGCAGCATCAGCGAAAGCTGGCCTTGAATTCTTGGATCTTCTGCAGGCAGGCTTTGGCTCTGTCGAGAACAACGTCGATCCTACTCCGCTTAGGCGACGGGCCAGCTCTGGTACCCTTAAAGACACTCCGCTCCGGCGGCGGGCCGGCTCTGGTACCCTTCAAGACACTCCGTTTCGGCGACGGGCCGGCTCTGGTACCCTCCATCTCTTGCGCCCCTCTCTTCTTGCTCGTCCCGCAGGTTGATTCTGCTCGTACCAATCAATAGCCAATCAGACTTATATAGTAGTGGTCTGGAGCTTCATCTTGAAACACACGCACACAGAGTACACGCACACAAGGTGCAAGCAAAGCATGCACCATGTTCCATTGGAAAGCAAAGCAGACCCAACCTTGAGTGCTGACCGAGAAAGAGGAAGAGAATGGTGGGTAGGGCATGCGATTGTTGCAGTGAAGCAGCAAGTGCTGGGACTCCACGCAGTTGATGAAGGACTCGAGCTCCGCCTTGAGATGCCCTAAACGGTATGGGTGCCGCCTCTCGAGCCCCTGCAGCTCTTCCCTTACCTCCTCCATCATCTCCTCACACGTGCACTCCATCCTCCCTGTCTCTTCCTCTCTCTCTCTCTCTCTCTCTCTCTCTGCACAAGCACACGCGCACGAGTTATTTAATATGTTGGTGGCAGAGGAACGGGAAATGTGGGGGCATACCTATTCCAGCCTCCAGGTGTGGGGAAGCTGGAAAGTGGAGCCTCTTTTCGCTCCGAACCCTTTTTTCTTATACGTGCAATGAATGAATGTGTCCTGTCTGGTCGAGGACTCGTTGTTCGAGGTGGCCTTAAAGGAGGAGTGGAAGGAGAATCTTGACTTGCTCTCTGTCTGGTCGAGGACTCGTTGTTCGAGGTGGCCTTAAAGGAGGAGTGGAAGGAGAATATTGACTTCTTTTTTTCTCTTCTATAGATGGATGATTTTTGTTTTTGGGTTGGAGTATAGATGGGTGATTTATTAATATACTTTTTTAGGCTACGTTTAGCCACCCGGATTTTTATGTAAAGTAGGATAAGGATGGAATTTGTTGTATCTTATACAATAGTTGGTACATGTACATGTTTAGACACGTTGCCGTTTTGCTAAAACACAAGTCATTCTATCTCCACTTCCACCTCTGTGCCATTGTATTCAACCCAACATTGCCGTTGCCTTTCGTTGCCGCCCGTCAAAGCCGCTCTTACATTGCCTTACCTCAAAATGCCTGTCGCCCGTCATCGTCATGTCCCCTATAGTCGTCCAATCACTGACATGTGGCGCCCAATCGAGCGGCATCTTTGTTTCGTCTCGATCCCATACCATTGTTATTTCTACTTATTAAACCAAAGGATCGTGGCTAAATTTTCTTGAAAGATATAAAAAAAAAATTGTTTGGAATTACTGCATGAACGTCTCATAACGCATGCTTACAATTGTAAAGCGACCACAAAGTTTCTTAGTTTGAAAATATTTAGTCACGAGAAGTTGAGCAAACACCTTACAATAATGATGGTGACATTTTCTTTTGCGATTGTCTTTGCAACGGAGAAATCTCATGAAGCACCCATAAGATGGTCCAATTCATAAAAAATAAAAAAAAAGATAAGTATACTAGGAGTCCTAAAACTTATCATGAAAATCAAGTCCTAAAACTTGAGTCCTAGAATTTTCAAAGAGTACAATCAAGTCCTAAAACTTGTCACGAAAGTGCAATTGATTCCTAAAACTTGTCACGAAAATGCAATCGAGTTCTTAAATTTTCAAAAAGTGCAATCAACGAATGGACTCGATTGAACAAACTTGACAAGTTTAAGGATTTAATTGCACTTTTTGAAAGTTTTAGGACTCAATTGTATTTTCTTGGTAAGTTTTAGAATTTAATTGCACGTTTTGAAGTTTTGAGACTCAACTGCTCTTTCATGATAAATTTCAAGACTTTCAATTCACTTAATAAAAAAAGGGAGGGAGACTTGTGAAAATCCCACAAGCAATGACCCAACAGAGGGCTAACTGTCTTGTTATGATGTTATCCACATCAAAACCTGGGTCCATAGAACATTAAATGGTTGCCACATAATCCAATCACATGTGCTCACAAAAACAGCATCCATGTCCTTCCCTTTTGCCCATCCTTCACCAATCCATTTGAAGAAAACTAGCTTCCCATCTCGACTGATATTTGTTTTGTGATCTTTTTCAGAAATGGAAATGACTTCACTGTCTCTTTCCCATGCCCGGCTCCTTCCAAAGCCTCTGGTGGTCTTGCCCTCGAAAGCTTCAATCCCTGCTCACACTTCACCGCTCCTGAATTGCTCGAGTAGCTACTCGAAACAGCTTCGAGGAGCTAAGATAAGAGCCAAGCACCAGCAGATAATTCTTGGGCCCGTACGTGCTTCTTCTGAAGCTGAAGGGCCTTCTTCAGCTGATGCTGTTGCTGAAAGATGGCTTCTTCAACCTGTTGGTCAGTGCCCATTTAAGTTCTTTGGGTCTTTTCATTCTTCACTTTCCTGCCTAAGCATAATCTTTTTCATGATTCATTTTCCCCCCCTTTTGCTAGGACTGATCTGCTTATCTCCTCAGAAAGTGGGTTTCTTGATTTTTCTGAGGAAGATGATGTAGGTAGAATTTTGGCAAGTTTCAGTGCCACCAAGGCTTTTCAAGATTGATCGCCAGAATATTTAGCAAATTTTGGTGCTTCAGTATTCACCGGAGCACTTCATCTGGTTAGAACAAGACCATTCTGATCATCAATTAGGCTGGAATTTAGAGAATGCAAACAAGGATACTGGCCTATCCCACTTTCCTTTCCTTCTTTTTGCTCTGATGAACACTGCTTGTATTTCCCCGTAGCTAAGGATTCTACACCACGCGCGCAATTACCTGAAGGTGGCTGCAACATCATTTTAGTCCACTAAAATTTGTTACTTATCCAAACTACAGCAATCACGTTCAATTGGGAGTAAACTTGAGAAGGCTAATGACATTATCAAATCGTGTTTAAAGAGGATTGCAAGGAGAGGAGGATGGGGGACAAGGAAATTTGCTTCTGATGAATAAGGGCCGAGGTGCTTCCATGTGCAAAACATAGTACAAATGAGGACTTCTTGTACTACTGTCCAGTTCACTTTTAGAAATATACATTTTACAACTCTAAGAACCAAAAATTTGAAGAGGTTTAGAACATTCTCATACGTCATTTTTGCCTAATTTGACCCTTTTTCTTTCGTAGCCTTTGATGCCAACTTTCTGGAATTCTCAGTGTTTGTGAGAACTCCTCGGGAGGGAAATTGTTCTATTTATGGTTGCTCTTGCTAACTTCTTGTGTTCTATGCAGATGAATCTTCTAATTTCTGGTTTTTTTACTTTAAGGATGACAGTCTCACTATTTTCTCTACTTTGTTCTGTTAGGTGATGGAGATACAAGACACACAGGCGTCAAGGTTGATATGCCAGGTGCTTTTGAAATTGCTTCTGTAAGTACTTTCTATCTATCCTGCGCAATCATCCGACGCTACAAACAATGTACAATGAAGGTGACTAAATTGTATTTGATACTTCTAGAATGTGGTCACTGTCGGTCGTCTACCAGAAAAAGCAGATATGGTGATTCCAGTTGCTACAGGTACATATCTCCCAACCTGAGAATTTGCTTTAATTACTAGTCCTATCGGCAAATGCTCCATTCCTGCGGAAGCTGCAACTATCTGCGCCCGGGCAAGCAAATTTTTGGCCGGTTCTTACTGAAGTTCGTCATGACGGATACATGTTGGGCAGAATCCACTTTGCTGTCCCCTGCTCGAGTTCACGGCGTTTGGAGTGCTAACTCTCATGTGTTATACAGCAAGCAGGAATTTACTTGATAGAATTGCACCATAGGGGAGAAGTCTTGCAATAATATCTGATGAGAATTTCGCCGTGAATTCAATTCATCAGACTACTGAAGAAGTGCTGAATGGATTATGGGGCTGGCAAGACCGTCTACGTTAAGGCATGTAGGCAACAAAAGTCACTAGGAATTTAGGATGATGCCGCTTTCTAATCACATTAAAGCTTTTTCGAAGCTTTGGCGAGGTGTTCTCTTTTAGACATACTGCCGTCGATGTTGCTGTGATTAGAACGTCCAGTTGCTCTCAAGAGGGAATTCTCCGTCTCGTGCGCTCATGACCACCATTTATGGACAATTATCGCGCCTGATTTATTCAAATAAAGTTCTCTCCGCATCATATTTACTCTGCTTGTTTGTCGCCGGGATTGAATCCCAGACGTCACCAACTTCCTCCCGGTGGCCTCAGAGGCAAATCTGTAGTCATGTCCTTAAATCATCCGAGTCATTGAGTCGCATTCTCTTTTAGAAAAACCATCCTGTTCATGCCTGGAAAGCTGAATGTTGCCTTTTGTCCTTGACTTGAGCAGTTTCCGGTCTTCATGCTCGCATCCAGAAGAAAGAAGGGAGCCTTTTGGTCACCGACTTGGATAGCACCAACGGGACGTTCATCGACAACAGGAAATTGAGACCTGGAGTTGCGACCGCTGTATCGCCCGGAAGTTGCATTATATTCGGTATCTGTCCTCACTCTCAACATATATACGTTTGTCTATTTTGGTTTCCTACTTCCTATTTTTCTTCACCGATTTCCGGTTTCTCGTGGTCGAGAATGTCAAATGACAAACTGCACGAATGCTACGATAGATAGAGCTTGCTCTGAATAGCCATTGTGCTGACCATACCATGAATATCATTTTCTCTTATAGGGGATACACGTCTGGCGAGGTTCCTAGTCTCGAAAGTGCAATCCACGGAAGCTTCTACGGAAGCCGAAGAACCGGAAGAGAAGCCAGAGCCTGAGAACTGAGTGTAGTGCCGAATCGGCCGCCTGAAAGTGCCGTGGGCTCTTTCCCACCATCACCTGAGAATATATGCGGCTTTTGCCGTAGCAGTCGAGATGCATCTGCACAATCGTACGTTCCTCTTCGTACGAGTCATGGAAAAGAGAGTTTTTTTTTTATGTCCCCACAAAATAATTAGAAGGCAAACGATGAAACTCCTATGATGAGATGACCATCTTTGTCTACTACCAAAATAGCTTTTTGCTCTGGTCTTTCAACAATGTCTTCACTTTCAGAGTACTATTTAAGTGATGAAATACACTTAATATATAAGCGTATTATGCATTGTTACGTAAGCATGGTCCGTAGCATCAGGGAACTAAAAGGTCGCCCAGACAAAATTTCATATCACAAATAGTATCTTTCATCCCACATGAAATATCTTCAATTGCCAACCAGAAATCATCAGAGGAAGAGGATCACCATCTTACACAAAAATTTGATTAATAAATTGACCATCGCATCTAAAGCCATCTCACTCTGTAAGATTTAAGCAGGCTCGTGCTGGTTGCAAATCACGACCCCGAAAAGGACTCGGCGATGAACACCGGCACGATGATAAAGAGAACCAAACCGCTACAGAATTGTTTCCATGGTTCTGGGCAGCAGCAGCTCAGCTCATCGCCTTCTCATTCCACGTCCACGCCCACGGAAAGCAGCTCCTCCACGCCCTCTGCCACCCATGGCACCAGCAGCAGCATCTCCTTGGGCACTCTCAGACTGCAGCAGGATATAAGGAGAAAAAATAAATAAACCATTCCTCTTTTATCACTTACCTTATCCAAAAATCCAAATAATGTATGTCAAACAAAATGTGAGAGTCAACATGATCATAAATTGCTCAATCCATCAGCAAAAGAGAGATATTATCTACATTCAGTCTGCATAAGCCACGAAAGCATAATAAGGTGATCTCTGTGAGCTTGGTAAGCATTTGCCAAAATTCCAATTGAAAGAGTTCAAGACAGATGTTCAATAGACATGAGTATCCAACACTAAACTAATCCATCGTAAATCGACGTGTCAGGAGACATGACCATGGCAAACGACAGGACTTATATCGCAAAACTTTATTCAGTCACACACGTACATACAGTTCAAACTTCACGTTGACATATTGAGAGAACTGCAAAACGTTGATACCTATAATACCTATAGATTCTAGACATACTCTGACTGCATACAGTAACTCAGAGATTTCTAAAAACTGAATACCCCCAACGATGTACTGGGAGTATGTCATCTATTACCTTAATAACAACATCACGCACGACATGAAAAAAAATCACCTCCCAAATCCACAAGTTAATCAGTTTGCCAAAACAGTGGGAGTTCCAAAGCTTTTATTGTCCCTGGAGAGCAGAATCCACGTGGCAACTAACTAGTTACTAAAGCCCAAATATATTTGCAGAAGGCAATTTGAACATAAGAATTACTACAACCCGAAGACTTTTGAAGCGAACCTCATTAAACCTCACAAGAAATTAACAAATCAAGATGCTGGTCCTATGCTAAATCCTCAACATCTTAAATTTTTAGAGAGTTTAAAATATTCTAACCAAATCGAGAGATCTGCAAAAAATTATATGCAATGAATCTCCAACTCTAAGAATACATAAAATCAACTTTGTTGGCAAGGAAAAGAACCAAGACAAGGGAACAGTTCCATTACCTTAGGGTTCTTTACTGTCTCATCCACACTTAGTACGAGGCAAGCAGCCTCAGTAGCCGCATTTATCGCATTAATCTGCCATACACACAGTAAACATTGATCATGAATGTCAAATGTGTCGAATCCAGCAATCAAGTCATATTCTCATTGCAAAAATTAATTTTTCCTAGGCACCTTCACGACAGATGGCTCCCAGACAAAGTTGGCAAAAGAATCAGCAATTCCACCAGTGTTAATATCCACTCCATAAGGTGCACCTTCTCCTGTTGGAACAATATTATGAGTGCAAGTAACGAATTAAATCTCACTTAACCTCTGCAATAATTTTTGCCAGATAATCATATCCTCAAGGAATGAAAGCATGGTACCTCTAGTAAATTACAAGACTGATGGATAAACATAAGTATCACCTAAGTGCAAAAAAAGAAATATATAAACCCATATTTAGAAGAAGCTAACCAGATGGGAGTGCATGCTTCTGTCTCAATTTGTTCAACACGTCAGTTGCATCAAAGCCAGCATTGTCACAGAGTTGCCGAGGAATAACCTGTAAAATGTGGACGATCGTCACAACCAAGGTGGCATCTAGGACAACTTCTGCTTTTGTTATTTGGTACACACACACACACACGGATAGTTGAGTCATCTTCATAATTTTTCAAAAGGTGCTAATCTGGGGCTTAAAGCCATACCAAGCGGGTCCCAAATGTTCCATCAAACAGTTGCAGCCGTCATTCAAATATAGAAAACCAAAATGCTACCAGTTTCTTTTAAATGCACATCTTACTCTATATTACCTATTGCCCTTTGAGTTTCATAGACAGATGCCAATTTCTTCATGCCTTATAGCACTAATTATCTATCAATGGCAATGAAATGTAAGACCATACCAAATCCGTTCCAGTTACTTTTCAAGTCAGTAGAATGAACAAATTTGCACTCTAACATAATCCAAATTCAACTATACATTTCTTACTGGCTTAGTATTGGGATATTCTGGTTCTTAGCACATCCAGTAATTGACCAACAGTGTAAAATCAGCATATGACAAACTAGAGACTATCAATTCAAGAAATATAAGATCCAAACATCTCTCAGGCATTTTAGCTTGCTGGAAAATCCTCTGATAAATTAGTTCAGACAATAACAAAGAACCACATGCGAAAAACTACCCATGCATTCTCACATACAAAAGTAAGGAAGTATATGCACACACCTAATTCCAACAACAACATAACAATTTACTTTATTTTTTCACCAGAACATTAGCATCTACTCTTTTGACCATCACGTATTGTGCTGAAAATATTTTTTTCTTATCCATTTCTTCATTAGTAAAGACCACAATCAGCTCCAAAAATTCATATTTACAGGCTTAGTATTTTGTTGAACAAGGTCCTAACAGCTTAAGTTAATAAATCATGCGCGAATTGTCTCAATAAAACTATTGAATATTCAAAACATCACATTTTTTCTACGATGAAAAGGTGATGAATACATTGTCATGTGAAAATTTAAACACAAATAATGAATCATAAAAGCATCTCAGCATGAGCAACACAAGATATATGCAATTTTACCTCGAGTGCCTTGGCATATGAATTGATAAAAAGCTGCGATTTCCCTGCGATTGTGCGTGCATGCTGCCTCAAGTATCGACTTATCTCCATCTACACAAGGAGGAATGACACATCAAATCATCAAGAGCAAGACCACCATTAAATAGGAGAAACACTGAATATGGTCATACATCTATAGCACCACCACCAGCAACAACAGTGGAGTTCTTCAAAGCTCTTCTAACAATCATGATTGCATCATGTAGACTCCTTTCAGCCTCTTCAATGAACTGACATCAAAGCAAAAACCCAAAGATCTATGTAAATGTCATCTACCATATTTGTAAAGCTATTTGACACTGCATATTGTGGTCAAGAGCAGACCTGATCCGCTCCACCACGAAGAACGATAGTTGCTGTCAGACCTAATGGGCACCCACTGAATATGTTAAACCTTTCATTTCCAACTTGCCTTTCCTCAAAAATTTCACAAGTACCGAGAACCTAAAAGAATAAAATACTCCAGATCAGTTTGGTTAGAACAAGAAAATCTAGTCATCAACTCAAACCACAAAAGAGGATTCATATACCTTACAAAATCACATCAGAACTCAACTAACAACATAGATATGCAAAATAGAAGTAGCACTGAAAGGCATATACCTCATCGATCACATTGTTAACAGATGTCTGTACAGTTCCACCAGTTGCAGCAGCAACCCTTTGTAGATCTTCCTCAGTCACACGACCAGCACAAAAAATATCCCGGTCGGCGAAATACTGCTCAACAAGGGTAAAAGAGAGAACATAAGCAAAAAATTACCAACATATGAATGTACAGATGATATTCTCAAAGTACAAGCAGAAAATCCCCATAACCATTTTGGAATGGAAACTACAACTCAGTATGATAACAAAACTGTTGGATTTCAATGAGCAACATTAAAACTAATGTGCACAAGAAAATACATTTATTAAAAGATCGCATAGCTTTGTTAAGGCCAAGTTAGCAGGCACCTGTGTAGCTAAATCGCCAATGGCTAACCGTGAAAGAACAACTTTTGCTCCACTCTGAACACATTTATCCAGTTTGTCATATATAATATTCCATTCAGCATCAACTATTGATTGATATTGCGAGGGATCGGAAAGTCTGCAAAGAGTGAATGGTGCCAAATGTAAGAAAAAGTTTATTTGGCATGAGACTAATTTAATCTAGAGAAGATCTCACCTGATCTCAGCATTTTCCTTTTCAGATTTCAGTTCCAGCTCAATGTTCAACAAAAGTAATTTAGGTTTCAGAAACTTCTTTGGCTGTTGTTCGAAACCTGCATAGGAAAATGTCTTCTTAAAAGCAACACCGTCAACAAGGAACGAATCTCTCATGCTACCACCTGGCACCTGGAAAGGCGGACAATAACGATTTTAGGTTCACATCATTCTGTGTAACCAGTCCCAACTAACTAACAAATCAAGCTTGTGTAAAACTTTGTTGAACATGACTCAAAAGTGCATTGAGAAGATCTTCCAGAAGTCAAACAACATATTAAGGCAGGTCAAAATGAAGTTGCTTCCCATAGATCCTCATGGAACATAGCAAAGAGAAATGTCAAATCAAACAACTGGAAATAAAAATCTCTTCTTCATCAGCAAAAAAGGTGTGAACATTGGGGAGAAAAATGGCAAAACCAGTATAACATTTGTTTTAGATAAGCCAAAATCAGGATAACTTATTAACATAAGAAAGTGAGAGGAAATGAAATTCATGCTAACACTTTTCAACAGGAAGCTATAACCTGCTTTTCACATATTAACCATCAGCACAATACACGAGCCATATTCCAGAAATTGACTAGGACAGTACGTCAGAGTAGGCAGAAGATGGGAAACGATGAGGAGAGGACATGAGATGAAGGGGAGCAAGTACTTCTTCTTAGTCTAAAAGGGGAACATCAATAGACACCAAATTCTCTTTCATTATGCATGGTAAGCTTCTAGGAAAATGCAAACTACCTTCTTGATTCCAATCATACTCAGTCTGTCACCAACTCCAATTGCAATAACAGCATCGACGACCATTGAAGCGAAAAACTCCTTCTCTCCGCCAATGAGTTTTGAAGAAAGTGTTGTAGCAGCGCATTTAGCCAATAAGCTCTTCTTCTCCTCTAGACTTTTCCCTTCTATGCTAATGGCTAGTTCTTTGATCTTCTCAATTGCCTATGATTCATTAATTTCACCGTAAGAAATGGAAGGACATCACAATCATGTGAAGAACAGGAAATTAGTTCAGCGCACATACAAGAGAGCATGCTGTCCGATAACTACGAATCAAATTCTGAGGATGGACCCCATCTTCAATGAAAGGTTTAGCCTCTTTCAAAAATTCTCCCGCAAGTAGAACCACTGTAGTCGTTCCGTCACCAACCTGTGCAAGCAGCAAGTGAGGATGTATCTTAATGCAAAAACAGTGTCATGACAAGAAGAAATAAGGCGACAACTCAACAGCACCCCTCCATTCTCTGCAAATCCATTAATTAAAATAAAAAAAATTGAAGCGTGATAGCCATGTGATACTAAGGATCTTGCATTAAGCATAACCCCCAACATTCCCTTTGGGACCGTTTGATTCTACAGCCACTCTCAATAATACAAGCTCTATGACATGCCCCGTGCACTCGACTATGTGAGTAGCCAATCCTGCAAGATATCAAGACACTTTGGAACAATTTGAATTTCAAAAACAGCAGTAATCACTCACAAGGCGACTACCGATAGATTCAGAAATGCCTGCGGCATGGATTATGAGCTACACATAACTAAGAGCATCCTCATTCCAGTCTAGAAACTTAAGAATCCACCATCAAATTGCAGATAACTCGAAAGTTACCAAAAACGCACACAAGCTAATGTTCCAAAACGAACGAAGAAATGAAGCATGAACACATCATGCCCTGTACAAGGGGGCCGAAGTGACCGGTCGCTCAGACTTTACGAGCGAGGATAATGAAGCACAGCGGCAGACAAAGACGGACGAACACTTTCATCTCCAAACCGAAAAAAAAAAAGGATCCGAAAACAGAACGAATCGGCACCTCGGAGTCCTGGGACTTGGCGATGTCGACGAGGATCTTGGCGGCGGGGTGGATGATGTCGAGGAGCTTCATGATGGTGGCCCCGTCGTTGGAGATGGTGACGCTCCCCTTGTCGTCGTGGATCAGCTTGTCCATGCCGCGGGGGCCGAGGGTGGTGCGGACGACGTCGGCAACCACCGTGCAGGCGTTGATGTTGCTCACCAGCTGGGCCTTGCCCTGCGACGTGTCCGTGCCTTCCTTGAGCAGTATGATCTGAGGTTGCTGTTCCCACCCGCATTTCCACAAAAACACAGAAGAAGAAAATTGGTGAGGGGCGAGCGCCGTCGAGCGAAACGCGAGGGAGCAGAGCGGAACTCACCAGCATGGCTGCCATTGTCGCGGATCGGAGCTTGCAGGGGAAGAGAGAGAAGGAGAAGAAGAGAGAGAGAGAGAGAGAGAGAGGGAACTAGGGTTTTTGAGTGGAGTTCTTTTGGCACTGTGGTTGCTTCTAGACCGGATGGAGTGGAGTGGGGGCCAATTTGGTAATTTTCGCTAAATTGGAGGGAGGGGGTGCAATTAAAATAACTGTACGATTGGAGTCTCCTCTTCTCCTTTTCTTTTAAAAAAAAACCAGAAAAAAGAGAATGTTTTTTTTGGGGAAAAATCATAATAAAAAAAAAACCTCCAAACCATGTTTGTTACGACGAAATTACTCTAAACTTTTTTTTTCTGTGATACCGAAATTCTCAAACTTATGCCGTGTAACAAATTTACCTTTCATTAAGATTCTATTAGTGAACACTGTTAAAAATATGCTCATATGGACGCCGGAAAGCAAACGGTATTAAAATGGCGTCCACGTGGCTTAAATGAAATAAAAACTATTTTGTTTTGACTGAAAAAATCATCCGGCAGAACATTAACGGAGGAGGGTAAATATGTCGCATAGGTAAGATTTAGGGTTTTTTATACCACAAAAAAAAAGTTATGATAAATGTGTCATAATGGACATATTGTGAGGTTTTTAATGTTATAAAAAAAGTTCATGGTACATGTATCATAGTGGACGTAGTTTGAGATTTTTTTGTGGCTTTTTTATTTTTTTTCTTTTTTTTAATAACTTACTAACATAGAGATTAATCAACTCGCCAAATTTCCAAATTAGTCCCCCTTTTTTTAAGTAATTGCACAGAATTTTTACTTCCAAGTAGTACCAATTGTTGACTCATGGTTGTGTTTCTTCATATTTCGATCCTGTCCAACTTCCTCATCAGCTTGTCCACCACAGTCGCGGCCGCTTCAATTCAGTCACCGAGCTCGTCACCGCCCGCATTGCTACTATTCTGATGTTCATGGATTTACATAAGACGACGGCGGACCGACACATTCGGGGGTCTACTCGTTGCTTTCCGAGGTCTGATGGTTTGTCAAATATGTGTGGAGCCTCATCTCAATGTCGAATTCTGTCATGACCAAAGTCCCAACTCACTCCAGCATAGAGCAATGAATGCGCAGGAGCTAAAGAGGGAGTGTTTTTTGACTCATCTCTCCTTCACCTTCAAGAAGGATGATCTTGAACTACCTAGAAAAGGGATGCTGACTTATACGATTCCGTGTTACTTTTCTTCGACCAGATGCTTCCGCAATCGCAAATTTATAACTCCTGACAGGCAGGGACTTGAGACAGAACAAGGGTAGTCACCTAGAAGGAACATACAAGGAAATGTCCTCGTCTCAGGTGTAATAATCTTCTGTTTCATGTGGGAGATACAAAAACATGAGTTGGAAGTGTCGTTACAAGGAACTGCAGAAACGTAAATCTCTCAAGACTCTCTCACGCTCTCTCTTAGGATGATTACAGACGGCGACTGCTTTTGCTGTTCAATTAAGAAGCTGTTAACATGTACGAAATTGTTATGCATTCTGTGGGGCTTAATGCCGGCATTTGGATCCCGCTATCCTTATAGAGATGCAGCATACATTGACTCCCATGAAAAATGAAGGAATCCTGAGCACCGTTCGGCTGATTCGGTTGAGTAAGGATGAAACATCTTCTAGCCCTGCAACACTTGTTTCCTCATATTTTGACAGGTGATTTTTTAAAACTGTAGCCGGCTTAAAGAAATGGGAGAGTACCTAAATTGCCACCTTTCTGCAGCTTATCCATAGCAGACAGAGAAAAGAACATGCCCAGTTGGCTAAGACTAACCCAAGTCGGGAACGGTGTTACTGCATCATAGCAGCATTTGAGTGGGAGGCTGAGGTCGACACCAAATTCTGGATATTGACTGGGCGGCATATACCCATCAACTCTTGCCCAGACCAGGCTGATTCGGCAAGCAAGCGATTGACAGCCTGTGTTGGATTGTAGAGATCCCACCAAACATGAGCTGATTCTGCTTTGCAAGCCATCTCAGTCGAAAGGCACCCTATAAGCATACCCTCCTGACCCAGCCTGCAACATGCCGTTTTTACGTCTTCAAACCCTGCATCACAAGAAGGAATTAGGCAACGATGTATAGATGCTTTTATTTTGTTCTATCAACGTCATAAAACTTGAATCAGACTACATTTCGGTTTTTTCCAAACAGCAAATCGGTAATCAACTAGATGAAAAAAAAAACATGAAAACCGAAAAATCGGTTGGTTTGTTGATTTTAGAAAAGTCCAGGCGTTGCTTTTTAATATCGTACTTTTATGTCAACAGCAAGCAATGACGAAGCTGAAGTATTTTTTTCAGTATGTTTATCCTGACATTGAGATTAGTGTCTGTGAATGTCAATAAACTAACTTGCATGAGAAATGTTTTCCTTTTTTGCTAAAGCATGAGTACAGCACCCTATTCAATCCATTGTCTCTGAGGCAACCGTATCCTCATTCTCCGGTGCGAACATGTCAATATCTTCCCTTACTGTGAGAATTTTATGAACTTCTCACCCAATAAAGCTTCACTTCATTTAACAGAAGAAGACAGTCTGACAACAATTTGTCATTTTTACTTCCTTTATAGGAATTATGGTTTTTACAGCAGTGCTTCAACCAACTGAACTTGGTTCTCACATTACTTCTCAAATATCCGAGGTCCATATTGGCAACACATGAAATTTGTTGAAAGCAGGAAATGATTGAAAAGTACCATACCATGTCGCTCTGGGCTAGTGATGACCGCCAGAATGGCGTGGTACATGTCACAGAAGACTATCTTAGCATCAGGTAGTTCTGCTTTGAGGTCAAAAATGCGCTCCTCAAGCATAGAATTGTACTCCAAAATAAGCTCATTGACCTCTTCCGCGCATATATCTCTCTTGCCTCCACTTGATGTTGAATTCACCCGTTCCCATCTTATACGTGGAGTGCACCCCAAGGGCAAAATCCCCATGCATATGATCTTTCTGGCATTCGCATTATACAGACTCGTTACCGCATCGATCATTTGATCAACCAGGACATGAGCAAATTCTTGGCCAGTAAATTTGTGGGTTATGCCAGAGGAGTTGCGAAGGAAAAATTCAATGTAATCATCCTTTCCAAAAGATAGGTAAGTTATAGACGATTTCATGAACTCACGAGCACTTTCCTCGGCTAGGTGAAGCTGTACCAACTGAAATGTCTCCAGTACTTGGCGCAGCTGCTGGTTTAGAGACTGGAATTTCCGGCCACCGAAGTTCAGAATTGTTGCCTCTGCTGACCCAAAGTTCAGGCCCCTCAACAAACTAGCAATTGAGCCATTCTGAGCATAGAACGGCGGAGTATTCTGTATGCCCATTTTTTCAGCTGCAACACCAAACTTTGCTGTCATGCTCGATATTTCAATGAGAGCTTGGCCAAAGTAACGAATTAGTTCTTTCACTGAGAGCAAGCCGTGTGGAAATCAAAAGTTGAAACCCGAACAGAGCTTTTTATGCACCCTCGATTGCTTATAAACTGGCAATGCAGAGAGGACAAACAGACGGGCCAAAAGAACCTCAAATCAGCCTGCTTTTGCTACCAAAGATCAGATGCAATTACGAACATAGATTACGAAACAAGTTTAGGCAAGTAACTTCCGGTTCCACTAGTAGTTTAGCTTATCAACCACGTCGCAGATTGTTTTCTCCAACCGATAAAGAGGGGAGCCTAAAACCTAACAGTTCATAAAAGTTAAGAGCTATCTCAGATCTCGCGCATCGGCGAGAACATCACGCCAATCACGAGCTTAAACTGACTAAACATAAGCAACCATAAACTCACCAGGGCAATGTATATCTCCTACCCGAAAAAGAATTCCCCAAGACTGCTCTAGAACATTTACTTATGTAGAACTGATACCGGGGTCAATCTTCAGAATAAATGCAGGAAAATTGCTCCGTCTCCCATAAAACTCAGCACACGGAGAGAAACTTAACGTTACAAACAAGAATTTCATAAGCGATGAGCGATGAGACCACAAACAAAACGATCTCCACCATTGGACCAAGAAAGGAAGTCTCTAATCAACACAAGCATCCCAAGAAAGAGAGCAAAAATTCAAGAACCGCAAGAAAGAGAGAGAGAGGCACAAGAATCGACGCGGTACCCAGAAAATGCGGGACAAGGGTCTTATCAGACTCGTCGTTGCACGGATGAAGAGACAGATCCCCGTGGAGAAACGGGTAGAACAGCGAATTGTCGCCGCAGTCCACCGAAGAGTCGCCCAGCACGTAGAACGCGGATACGTACGACCCGTTTCCGGAACCGAACAGGGTCGCCGCCGACGAAGGCGACGGCGGAGGCCCCGACAATCCGTTCGACGGGCCAATCATGCCCGCCGAGACAGCGAGGAACAGGATCAGCATCACTCGACTTGGAGCCCACGGCTCGTCCTCGCCGCGTTCAGGGTGGTTCTCCGCCGCGCGAAGTGAGCGGCGTCGGCTGCGTCTCCTCGGTGGCTCGTCGAGGCCTTCGTTACAGACGGTCGGCTCCATCTTGCTTCCTCGACGATCGGCGGAAGGGAAGAGGCGAAGGAAGGGATCCCGGGAGTTGCCGGGAGAACTGGGAGGGGAGACGAGAGAATTCTTCATGGGGACGCGCGGGAAATGGTCCATGCTGGCGTTGTAGCTCAGCTTTCATAATATACTTCAATTTTCATCTTTATCTTTTCTTGAAACTTTTAATTTTCAAATACTGAGACGGTCCACCCCAAAAAAGTAATTTTTCGAGTGGTTTTTTTTTACCTTTTTCCAATTTTTTTGGTTTTCACATCACCCTGAGGAAGCATTTTTAGATTTTTTTATACCAAATTCCGAAAATCGTATATAATATTCAAATATCGATAAGTTTATTTACGTACAAGTTTAAAAACCACTGGATGCGCGTACAGTGTCGTGTCGTTCAGCCGAATTTTGATTTGTATTTTGCTCAAATCGCAATTCAAGAAATTGGGAATATTATACAAAGAACTTAATTAATAAGTGCCCCTGCTACACTTATTAAATACTAATTTATAAACCGTCTTTTCAAATTCAATATTTACCCACCAAAAGAACATTTTCATTATAAGAAAGAAAATATTTACCAAGAGCACATGTGTGCATAAAAGTCGACCGATCGGCATAATGTTTTTTTAACGGGTCCTTGTTAACCGTACTTAATAAAGAATATTTCTATATTCAATGCATTAGTTACACGTAATGCGAGAGAGACAGCAATGAAAAATTAAAAAAAAATTCCTTATTTTGGTATTTGACAAGTAATAAATTCGTCCCACATAAGTACTCAGGCTCATCTCACTTGCGACTAATGCTTGAAGAATGGCTTCAACTCCAAGTCGAGATAGATCCGTGTTGCCGACCTTCGCCGTGCACGAGATAATGTTAAAAAGTCCAAACCAAAAGCTTAAACTGATAGGTGGAAAGAGACCACATCAATATAAAGAGCATTTAGGATCGGTTGTCAATCGACGTGGATAATACGTCAACAGATAAATCCACTTAAACTCACTTTCAACTACACAGAGCATCAGTGTCTCCAACTCAAGTAGACCCAACACATAAGAAGATCACATATAATCACCATTTTCAATCAGACAATGATCTGGGAATCGCAGGCCGACGTGCCGGCAAGAGAATATAAGGGAATCAGAATCGGGAAACTGACGTCAAAGATGAAGTATTGATTGCTATAACTAATGGAAGTAATTGTACAGAATCCGCTTTCACGGAAACTCAAAGCTTATGAGGCAAATCGTCAGACTATTAAGCAAACAATTAAGCTGAAGGGGCCGTCAGTCCTTCATCATGCCTTCAGCTTGCCGCTCATCCCTCGTTTGCTATGCCACACGCCATTCCTGTCACCGTTGGCTGCGACGGAACATTGATCGGTCCGACCACCCTTCCTGTTCATCTCTATTTGAAGCTTACGCCGCCGCATCCTGTTTTCCAGTCGGATTCCTCTAAGAGTACGGGCCCTCCGTTCGATTTCCAGAGCTTGCGAGAAGTTCCAAATTCTAACAACTCCTTCCTCTCCGCCGCACACAATGCGATCTGCACCAATGTCCACTGAGAACAGATCGCTAGAAAACCCGTGGAGCATCCTCTGAGGTGGCTCTACTTCGGTCCGGTCGATACTACCAGTCTTCAAAATCTTCTTTCCAGAAGTACTTTTCTTAGTTCTCAGCAACTTTCTCACATCAATCAGTGCAAGCTGTCCATCAGCAGAAGCTGAAACAAGCCAGGGAAACTCAAATGCAAGTGCATATACAGGCCCTGAATGAGGAATCCAAGAAGCAACATGGGTGAAATCATGTTCCATGAGGTGACCGATCTCAAACATGTGTATGGCTCCATCTTCCCCACCAGTGAAAAGGAAATCTCCTGTATGGCTTCTAGCCAACGAATAAGCATTACCAATGTGCGCATTCTGAATGACAGTCATCAAAGTCCCACTGTTTATGTCCCAAATATAAACATCTGAACCTGATGATGTGGCGACGGTGGTATCATGGGGGACAAGTCCCCAGATCCAATCACTATGCCTCAGGACCCTTGAGCATTTCAGCGAAGCACGATCCCATATGAGCACGGTCATGTCCCATGAACCACTATAAATCTTTGAAAGATCCAAAGCAAGGGACGTAACAGCTCCTACATGCTCCCAAAGCCGAAATTCACTGTTTTGACTCTGATGACCCCTCAGGTCAAACAAGTGTGGAATTCCCTCAATAGCCCTCCAACCATGAATAAAGCCATCAGTGCCCCCGGCAACCAACAGTTTCGTATCAGCAGCGACTGCTCTCATCGTACAACCAAGAGGCCTAGACGACGATATAGACAACCCTTCTTCCAAGTCCCACATTTTAACCGTTGTATCATAACCTGCTGTGAATAAAAGCTTTGCAGAAGCCAAAAGGAAAACTGTCCGTACAGCTTCGGTGTGACCATACAAAACCTCAATGTTATAACGTCCCATGAATGTCCTACTCCTAAAATCCCTCTCCACAAATAGCTCCCTCCATGACTTTTCATCGGAACATCCCGAGCCCAACGATGCCAGGGCAACTGGTAGGCCCCAGCGCTCACAGTAAAATTCCTTCCAAGCATGATGCTCGGAGGCGAGCCTCTGGAAAAGCGTAGACACGCAGGAAACAATGCCCAACTCTTTCGGGTCAAGACAGTTGAGGATTTCAGACACTAAAGCCGGAGGAAGGTCGGCGAACGACCGAGGAAAACACGACACGACCCCATGAGACGGCACCTCTTTTCTATCGCACGAGCTAGTATTTCCTTTCTTGGATTTAAATTCCAACACGCATTCCGATTTCCCAGCTTTCTCTACAGCTGTTTCCGAGTCGAACACTTTACTTTCCAAGTGCTCCGCACTATAGTTCTCCGCCGAATTACCCAACTGCTCCTTCGAATCAATGCGCTCTTCCAAAGAATCGACAACAAATTCCGACGAACTCTCAGAAATGTGACTACCCTCTTGGCATTCAAATGCCATAAAACAATTCTCTAACCCCTACAAGTGAGTTCAAGGGACGAATTCAAATCCCCAAAAATCAAGAACCAGAAACAGAAACAGCAACCCTTAACGCCCTGCAAACACAAATACCGAAAGATTCATCATACGATCCAAATTGTTAGAACCCATAAAACCCGATCTAACAAACCCTAGAAAAATGACACGATCGCCCAAGAAAGGTCAAACCCAGTAGCTAAAACAACGAAAAAAATCAAACCAAGACGGAACAAGAACGAAGATACCACTGCAAAAGGGTCTACGAAACGAGTGTCGAACAAGTAAATGCACTGATGAATTGAACTTCAAGATCATAACAAAAGGGAAATCATCAGGAGCTAATGGTTGAGACGGAGGTTGATCAGAAGCGGTACCTCTCTATAATTAATGGACGATCCCTGCGATCGGAACTTGGAAATGAATTAGGGTTTCAGGAGTTTCAGAAGGAGAAACGGAAGGAATGGCTCGTTGAAACTCTACAGAGAGAGAGAGAGAGAGATTTTACGGTCCAAGGGGTGGGTTGCAGGAGGTGTCTTATCCACCGTTGATGGTTTGGGGGGGATCGGACGCTGGAGAATGCGGGAACGAGACGTCGGTCCCGTGGTGCTCGTCGCAGGGGAACAAAAAAAAATTTGAGATCATGATGCAAATGACTCCTCGTCCCTAAAATTTATTGATTTGTTCAATTTAATTCATAAACTTCAGTCTAATATTTAATGTGGCCCCTAAACTTTTAATTTGCTCAATATGATTGATATATGTTCAATATTGAGGGATACTATTGATATTATACGAGTTATTAACTAATTCTTTCATACACGACGATTCTCATGAATTTAAGGCGTTAATATAGAAAATGAGCGTTACAATATTGGCTAAAAGACGGTTGCATGTGTGCACGGCGCATGTGTGAGAACTAATTCCGGGTGAACGATGTGCTCCTTCAGCGATCATTCGATGGACTACTTTTGCTATGCTTATCACTAAGGGTGATCGGTTTCAGGATGGGTCGGTTCCAAACCTGAAACCTAAAACCGACCCTATTATAACTGATTCCTAGTTTTTTGAACCTGAAACCTACCCTGTTTTCCCTGAATCCTGTTTTGAAACCTACTGTGTTTTTTCGGCTCGGTTCCAGGGTCTACCTGAGAACTTGTTTTTTTTTTTGTTCCTTTTTTTGGTTTCATTCTTTCCAGGGAGTAAATAGGAAAACTTATAACTCAAATCAAAGGTTATAAGTTTGATTGTGCAAACAATCTTAAGTATTCATACAAAAGCAGATTATCTTAGTCCCAATAATTTAATAGACGTGATAAAACAGCATAGATTCCAATTGGATATGTAGTTTCTTCGTTATAGAACAAATATTTTAAGAAAAAGGAAATTGCTCCCTATAATGCTTACAAGCCCTTGAGTTAGACTATCCACAAATAATGATCACCTCCCTCATCCTTCCTGATATAATGCTTTGAATTCTGGCTATATAAAATTACAAGTGGACCTCCATAGAAAACCGGTTTTAAAATCGATCCGGGTGGGTTTTCACTTAGAACCAGAAATCGGACCGGTTCTAACCGGTTCCCAAAAAATGGAACCAGTTCCCGGACCAATTTAAACGAGAACCGGTTCTCGAACCTATTTTTCAGGTGGGCCTGTCTGGTTTCCGAGTAAACTCGGTCCGGTTGCACACCCCTACTTCTCACATGAAGAAGCTCAGCAAGCCTTGCAAGAAGTACACGCTTTTCTAATAAATAAGGGCATAGTATCAATGGTTTGCCAGGTTGGTTTTGCTCTCTACCTTATCACGGGGGATGGAAAGAAGAGAGGTCAACTGGAGTGGAAGCGAGGGAGACAAGAATCTGTGATCGTTCCGAAGAACCATTGCCAGATGTGATTCTGCTCCCCCTTCGCACTACCCAAAAAATAAAGGGAAAATTTCAAATAAGGGTTTGAAGTGGCTATCTCAGTCTCAAAAAAGGGCCTAACCTTATTGAAGTCGAGGGCATTTTCATCTTTTAACTTTTTTCTTTTTTTTCTTTCTTTCTTTCCTTTTGTGTTTTTTTTTCCATAAAAAAAACCTCAAAAAAAAAAAAAAAAAACAAGGGGAGGGCTGGGAGAGGGCTAGCCCTCCCCTGCCTTTGGCCACCGGCCCACTGTGGCCTCGTTTGATTCAGCATTTGGCCTAGCATTGGCTAAATGCTAGCATTTGGAATGCTGAAAGCCTAAAGCTGGTCCGGCCCAGCTTTAGACTTTCGGCATTCCACAAATGCTGAAGCCAAATTTTTTGTTTCCAAACTACCATCACTTATTTTGGCTTATTCCGATTTTGCCCATCTTGTTACTGTTCATCTTCTTCGTGAGGCCGTTGGCGAGGGCGGCCGGCACAGATCGGGCCGGCGGGGTCGCACGACCCAGGCGACGGCCGCCTGAGGTCGCACGACCGCCCAGGCTGGCGGTGCCTAGGTCATGCGACCCTCGCCGAGGGTTGCTTGGCCTCGGGCGACGGCCACCGGCGGCAGATCTGGCTCGTCGGCGGTCGCCTGACCTTGGGCAATGGCCGCCGGCGCCAGATCTAGCTCGCCGGCGGCCATCGGCCTTCGCCGGAAAGCCGACTCCGGCGAAGGGTAAAGTAGGTTTTTTTTTTAAAATAAAAAAGATAATTCCCAAAGCCCTTTTGCAAAAAAAAATTTACCAAACACTGCTTAGCCCAAAGTAATTTTACAAGTGATTTTTTACCAAACGCCACTTGCATTTCCCCAAGGAGCTTTAACTTAAAGGTATTTGTATTCCCCCAAGTAGCATTTCAAAAGCCGAACTAAACAGGTCTTGTGGCGGCTACCCCATCACCAGAAAAAAAAAATTCTGGTCGACGAGGGTCACTGGCCCTCACTGAAGCACCGACCCCATCAGCCATGGCCGCCGCCTGACCAGCGATGGGGCGGCGGCCACAGGAAAGGGAGGGCTGCCAATCCTCCCTTGTGTTTTTTTCTTTAAAATAAAAACTTTTTTAAAAATTTTAATTTAATTTATATTAAAATTTATATTAAAATTATGTTTGGACGAAAATGTCCTTAATCGGTGGGAAAATTTGACCGGTCGGTGAGCCGGTGGGATGAGGTATTTATTTGAAATTATTATAAATTTATAACCACTTCAGGCCCTTATTTGAGAAAAAGATAGCACTTCATGTTCTTATTTGACACAAATTCCACTTCAAGTCCTTATTTGAGAAAATGAGGGCACTTCGGATTTTTATTTTGAATTTTCCCAATAATAAAGATTCTTGCCTCTTTCAACTTAAGAAGGCTCCAGTGAGAATGAGGATCACTTCGGAACTCTAGGAGAATGGGCATCTTAGGGCGGGATATAAAAGCTCTCCAACTCGCACAAGGTATGGATAAATTCAATTCTATAATGTTTAGAGTAGATAATCCTTTCGTTCTAATTTACCAAACGCCCAATGATCCTTCGATATTGAATATGCACGAATTGAGCTCATTCGCACCCCAAATCACTTTTAACTCGGCTAAATTACCCATCGAAACCGGCGAAAACTTCACTCATAGAACCGGCGGGCGTGGCCCTTTTGAATATGAATATGTAGCATCTATACTTTTTCCGGTTCGAAATTTAATGTTCAATGCACGATTCTCGTGCAAATGAATTAGAAAAGAGAGTAGCGTTCAAGAATCAAATGAAAGGTGGATTTTTTTTTTTTTTGTTTTTTTTGCTCTAAGAATTGATTTTTTTTTTATTTACTTCTTGTCATTCCCCAACGAGCACAAATTACCAAACGAAGAGGAAAGAACGATGACGTTTTGATGGGGAATTTCCGTGTGATCCACCACCTCCTGCCCCGAATCCAACCCGATCTTCCTCAACCTCAGGAGACTCCCCGTCGCCAGTATCGCCATCGGATCGATGTCGTGCAGCGACCTCGCGTACAGGCTCCGGCAAGCCGCCGCCGCCGCCGCCTCGAGCCGCTCCTTCTCCTTCGCCGGCGCCGGCCCCAGCATGCAGTGCCCCAGTATCCTCAGCGCCGGTTGCAGGAGCTCCCACGGCATCGTGATCCGCCCCGATCCGGTCCCTTGGCCTTCGATCCGCGACCGGTTCGCGTCGCCGATCTCTTCGGCGTCGTCCTCGCACGGATCTCCGGTCAGGCCGGACCAGACGACGCAGAACTCGCAGAAATCGATCTTCGAGCCGACCGGCATCTGCGCGATCCGGCTGTGGTAGAGCTCAAGCGCGATGCCGACGATCCGCGAGCGCCGGGACGACCGGACGGTGCCGTGCGGCTCGAGGCTCGGGGACACGACGGCGAGGTTCAGGTCCGTCGCGATGCTCTTGGCGGAGCTGTCGCGCGTCTCGTGGTACACGCTCGGGTGGGAGACGTCCGGGATCGTGACGGTCACCGACTGGCCACCGCGGGCGGTGGTCACGTGCGCGTACAGGGCGAGGAGCACGCACTCGAAGCCGGCGTGGGGCTTGCGCTGGGAGGCGCGCGAGAGGTAGACGCCGGCGACGGTGGGGACGTGGCGGAGGACGACGAGCTGGAGGTCGGGGTCGCCGGAGTGGAAGGTGTCGTAGAGCCAGCGGCAGAGGTTGTCGTCGCCGGAGCCGGAGTCGGGGCGGCGGAGGAGGGAGGAGACCTGGGACGCCACGTCGGGGTCGTGGAGGAGGGCGAGGGCGGGGCTCTCGGAGGAGGATAGGAACGGGGGGACGGTGGTGACGATGGAGGAGAGGGCGAGAATGGCGGCTCGGGCTTTGGAGGCTGGCTCCGTCGGCGAGGCCGCGGGGGAGGAGGTCGCGGCGGCGGCGGCGGTGCTCTGATGATCCATTTGAATTCCGCGGTTTGAGTGCGAGCGATCGGTGAAGAAAATGTTAACGAGGAATAAAACGGAAACGAGAACAACGAGCGTACGGAAGAGATTTGGTGGGAGAAAAAATAGGATCTCAATTTGACTTCATCTCGCATGCAAATCAAATTAATCGCTATGGAAGGATTATTTTTTTCGCGAAAAATGGTAAATTCATTTTTAATATTATTATTTGAATTATGTGATTGGCTAGAGAGTGATTTTCACAGCAAATGATAATTAATCGCGGGGATGATGGATTGAGATAATTAGCATATGGGGTATCGAATTAACCGCTAATGTCATCTCTCAATTTTTTCGACTTTTGGAATGTGCAATTCGCAAGAAAGGTAGCGAAGCTAGTCGAGTGAATACTTTAGGTATATTTCAAGGCTGTTCAGATCAACAAGAGATCTACATTTATTTCTACATCGAGCAATATTCATTTGGAGGGAGAAAATAATAATGTAAATGCGAACCGAATGACCTTATTTCACGTCGGAGATAGTAATTGTTTTGACGACGGAGAAATTACAGAGACCGATTGAAAATTTGAATGGTATGAAATCAAGAGAGTATCGACAGGACGACTATTTTCAAACTGAAAGCCAAGACGAACGTCGACAGATCACCGTGCGGGGTAGAAGCTCCGCTGTCCTTTTTAGTTGATGGGGTTCCTGCAATTAGTCAGTCTCTTAGTAAATTTAACTTCTGCCCGTTCTTCCGAAACCGCTTTGATTTGATTCGGTAAAGCAAAAGGGTTTTTCGTCAGTCGCAATAGGCGTTATATAACATGCACGGATTTGGTATGACATGACGGTAGATGTGCAATAACTACCAATACAAATGAAATAGCTAAACACATAGCAAATTAAAATGAAACGGTCATTATCTTAACCAAATGTGCTCATAATGTCTTATTTGCGGGGCCCGAAATCAGAAAATTTCTTGATGGTCGCAGCAAAATATTGGGAAGACAAGCAAAACACGTCGAGCGTTGTTTTAATGTGTGCTTTTATATGGTAAAAAAGAATTAATGAATAATATTACATTAATTAGGGATGGAGATGTTACCTGGTGCGGCAGGTCCTTGACTAGAAATTGGGACGCCAACGGCTACGATATGTCAAAAGATGAAAAAGGATCAACGACCAAATCATCCGTAGCAAATCTAATTACACAAGAGTTTGCTTATCCAAAAATTTAAAAAATTTAAAAAAAGGAAAAGAAAGGGAAAAAAAGAGGCAATTAGAGGACGAGATTAGAGATTCCGACAATACTTAATTTCACATTCCGAAACACGAAACGACCTTACGCAGAGGATATAAAAATTTATATCATAAACCCACAGGAGATCACGTGATTAGTCGAGAAGCATCTTTAGATCACGTGACCTACGTATTTCGTGATTAGAAATTTTCTTAGGAACCGACAACTTTCATGATTTCTCATAATGGGTTTTCTTAATTTTTTTCTAAAGCTTGAGCTATAAATAATAATTACGATAATTTTTTTATTATTTCAGTTTTTTTTTTGCATTTATATCATCGGATCATTTCAAGAACTAGTGAAGAAGTCATGCTGCCTAGGAGAGGGTGGATTGTGCATTGAAATATCACAAATCAAACGCTTGAAAGAGAAGAGGCTCGAAGGGAGTGTGTTAAGCAGCAACAAGAACCTGCACACAAGCTCAAAGGCGGAGTGACCACGTCGCAGGCCGAGGGGAGCTTGAGGGCTCGGTTCATGTCGAGGTCGATCCCGAAACTGTTGCTCTGTCCGATCAGCTCGCAGAGGCAGACGGGGCTGTTCTCCACCATCCCCGCCAGCTCGGGGCAGCACGCCTTGTCCGGCACGGTGACGTTGCTCCCCTTCTCCACATACGTCAAGCAGTCCGACATGTTGAGCAGGGTGGAGAGGCAGTCGGCCGACGGCCCCGGGGAGGGGGCCTGGCCGGAGACCTCGCAAGACGCCGCGAGGAGCGAGGCCGCGACAACGAACGCGACGAACCGAGCAGCGGTCATGCTAGGGGGAAGAGGAGGTGGTGGTGGTGAAGGTAGCGGTGCCAAAAGTTCAAAGAAGCTTTTATGAAGGAGTTAAAGAGGAGTGGTTAGATAGCATAGAAAACAAGATGTTATGATGGAGAAATGTGTGAGAATCTTAGAAAACCCTTTTGAAGTTGTGGCCAACATCTTGCATTTTGCTTGGAGGTCTAGGGAAAAGTTAAGGACGCCAACCATCAGCATTTATCAACGGTACTATTTTAATACTTGTCAGCTGAGCTAGCTCACAATCACATAGTCACATGCCATGTTAAACCTCAAAGCAGTTTGTTCCTTTCTTATATTAACTTTCGTTTTGGTTTCTGATGTCATTAAATTGCTAAAAGATATAACAATTAATATAAGTAAATCATACCATGATTTCTTTAGCTCATCCTCCAAATGAACAGAAGCCACGGATTCAGGAATTGGTCCGCACCCACCAGTCTTCAAACACCAACACTCGATTGTCTATACACACGGTTGAAGTGTTAGCAATAGACAACAGCCTGGCAATCTTTAATTGCACAAGCAAACTGGTGGCATCACGAAATGAGCATTTATATTGCACAAGAAAGGTTTTGCGACTTTATAAACTTTTGAGGTTCGTCCATCGCTGTCACAGGAAACATGGCTCCTTCGGTCTTCCTTATGCACCTGCCCAAAAGTTTCTGTCTGCTTTCTGTGAAAGAATTGAGTGTTAATCAAGTTTGCTAACATGGCAATTCCGTGACCACTCTACCCTCAATCATAGTTTCAATGTCTAGAACCAATGTTTTGATTGATAAAATAAACCTTTCCTAAAAATTGAATATTACGGGGCCTTATTAATGAGTGGTCAGGGCACTTATTATGCATACACACGACGCAAGTGAAGTACCACAGTAGATTTGACCCCAAAAAAAAAGTACCACAATAGCTACAGCCTACAGCAGCACGTGGCTCTGTATTTGTAACTTGCTTCATCAAAGCCCTGAATTTTACCTCAAAAGCATTCTAAAATCCTAGCACAAGCAGAGCAAGCATTTCACAGGACTCGGCAATTTTCTCTGTTGATAGGTTTCTTTGAACGGCCATAAATTCTCTCTTTAGGACTCAGATACTGACAGCCCCAGCAAGGACATGGTGATCCGGATGGCCTTCTGATCATATCTCTCAATCCCACTCATCTGGGGTTCGGTAAACAAAACTAGAGGAACAGAGCAACAGCTTTTACAAATATAATAAAAGATATTTGAAATGTGCACATGCCTGCACGAGTCCCATGCTTATTTATAAAACAAAAAGTACTCACCCAACCCTTGATATAAATTTTTAAAGCAGACCAGAATCTACATGTAAGGCATATGGCACTATGCTTGATTAATCTCATAGGTATCAAAATCTTCACACCCAAAAAAGAGTTTCTCCAGTTTTGGTATACAGTTTATGACCTTAAGCTTGATAAGAGCTTGATGGTTCCAATGACAGGAGGCCAGTAGTCAACAGCTTTCATTTCATCCAGAAGCACCCATCTCTACACTGGAGATTGTAGCTCCGAGGAGGAAGATCCAGGTCCTTTCACTATCTGCATCTTCTCAGGAAGTCAGTTGAGGCGAGATTTGAGAGTTTTGTTGTATTCTGGTGAACAGAGGTTAAGGGTGCGCATGGAATGCATTCCGGAATAAAAATTCTGTTCCGGAATGCATTCCGAAATAGAATGACGTTTGTTAAAAAATTTCCGGAATGCATTCTGGAGCGATTTTTGCATTCTGGAATAAAAATGCATTTGTTAAAAATACTTGATTCCAGAATGCATTCTTGATTCCGGAATGCATTTTTGATTCCGGAATGAGTTTTTGGCAAGAAAAAGAGAAGCTACTTTTTTTAACTTCTTGATTCCGAAATGCATTCTCCCTATTTTCTCATAATTTTTTTTTCAGAAAAAGCATAAAAATTGACAATTTCTAGAAAAATTCATAAAAATTTCCAGAAAATAAAAAAAAGTCAGATTTCGGGAAAATATGAAAATCTGTGAATTTTTTTTAAAAAAATAAAAAAAAAAAAATTTCAAAACTTCACGGAATAGCTTAAAACACATGTGGCCATCCACTTTGAGTGAAATTTAAATTTTTTGAGGTGCCCAAAAAAAATCAAAAATTTCAAAACTTCACAGAATGGCTTAAAATACCTGTGGCCACCTACTTTGAGTGAAATTTAATTTTTTTGAGGTGCCCAAAAAAAATAAAAAAAATAATAAAATAAAAATTTTCAAAACTTCACAAAATGGCTTAAAATACCTGTGGCCACCCACTTTGAGTGAAATTTAAATTTTTTTAGGTGCCCAAAAAAAATAAAAAATAAATAAATAATTTTAAAACTTTACAAAATGGCTTAGAATACCTGTAGCCACCCACTTTGAGTAAAATTTAAATTTTTTGAGGTGCCCAAAAAAATTAAAAATTAAAAACTTCACAAAATGGCTTAGAATACCTGTGGCCACCCACTTTAAGTGAAATTTAAATTTTTTTAGGTGTCAAAAAAAAATTAAAAAAATCAAAAATTTCAAAACTTTACAGAATGGCTTATAATACCTGTGGCCACCCACTTTAAGTAAAATTTAAATTTTTTTAGGTGCAAAAAAAATCAACAAATCAAAACAGATTTCTGTTCCAGAAATCAATTTCTGAAGCAGAATTAGTCATGTTTTACCAAACAGATTTCTCCTCCAGAAATCAATTTCTGGCAAGAATTTGATTTCTGGAGTAGAATGGTTACCATTCGCACCCTAAATACCAAAGAAGTTGCAATCTGTATCTGTTACGCACCCTTAATAAGCAAAACATAAAATTACTTAGCACAACTATCTGTTTTGAACAAATCAATCAGTATACATAATGATAGAAGTAATGCCCTGTTTTATATATTCATGTATATACTATTTTCGTGTTGATAAGTTATATACATGTATATATGTATATTTGTTCCGTTTCTGGTCGAGATAAAGTAAGAGGAACACTGGAAGAAAATCTTAAATATCTGGTGAAAAAAAAAATCTACAAGCAAAAATATAATCCATCAATAATATAAATCCCCATTGAAATTGACAGCAAATCTGAATCTTGGTCGTGATTCTTCCAGGTTCATGTTGAGTCATCTTCATAGGGAGAACTGAATCTATTTTTTTTTACTATTTGCATGCCTCTTCTATAAAAAGAGTAGTTATCTTTCTTTTTCTTTTTCTTTTTGTTGGGGGTAGAGGGAGGGGGATGGCAATTGGCTAGTACTTGTTAAAGAGCGCAGTTCTCTTGTTCCTGTTCAATTCCTTTGATGTTTTTTGATGGATGTCTACATAAGATCTTGAAGGACATTTGCAGCCAGATTCCAATCATGTATCAACTCAGACATAAACAACTCTGCATTTAATGAAGAGATTAGTGAAGAAATTATAGTCTTATAAGTTTGGTGGTCTGAGTTGTCCATGTCTATAACTATAAACTAACAGAGAACACCATCTAGTATTAATTCTATAGAGTTGCCAGAAACAGGCATTAATCTGTGTATCCAAAAAAAGGACAGGCCCATGCCCTAAGCTTGAACTGAGCATATACTTACGTTGACTCAGCTGGCATGGAGGTATATCCGTATCATTTTGGAATCTACCATGAGCTTTCCGATAATTCCAAGAGAAGTAGACAATAAAGACAGTAGACAGTTTAACTCAACAATCAAAACCTGCAATTACTGAAACCCCTCGGACAACCAAGTCCTTGCCTCATAGTGTTATCGCACAATTAATCACTCTGCTTCAATATTATTGATCAGAGTAAATCTCTCTTTTTCACATCTTTGTGGCAGTTAGCATCCTACAACGGTAAGTGCCTTCTTCTGATTAGTATCAAGAAATTTCTGCCCTGACTAACAGCAGAGTAAATTTTTTTCGTGCTTCTTGAATTTTTCTACCTACACAGGCTAGTACCAAGGCCTAGGTTATCCTCATGAGGCTAGAGCCATGTGGTGATATGGTTACATCAAACTTTAGATCATGCAAGTCGCTTTACCATATCTTCCATTTTCATTTTCACTCATGAAGAGTTGTCACGTTACAATGCTTGATACATATTATGTACTCTGCAAGAAACACACAAATCATAGGAGTTTTGATGAATTTGCGCAACATTTGCAACTTCCTCAACCCGTAGGAATATTAGAGCTAGGAGGTGCCCTCTGTTTTCCAAATGCTATAGCACTTACAGCAGAATCCACAAGTGAATGCTTAGTCAGGGTCAGCTGGAAGGATGAGAAAATAAGTAGGATAGAGTAACATAAACCATCCCCACCTTTTTGTATCTACACTTTGCATCCCCTACTCTTAAGATGAACAAACTATATAAAAAAAAAAACCTCGAAAACCCGATTCAACCCTCGAACAGGGAGGGTTTCTAAGCTTGGGCTTTTTGTTGACAACTCTGAATAAGATGGGTTATGCAGCTCCAAAGACCAGAGCAAGCAAAACATCCCCAGGATACATGTGATGATGCCAAGTTCTTTAGTATTCCTAAGATGCTCACTGACGTTTGCAGTAAACAAATCAACACGTGAACACCCTTGTCCATAGAAAATTCATAGATAGGCTGGAAACCGAGCTGGTTGTCGGAAAAAAATGCAAAACATGCATCGGCAAAGATATATTACAATACTCGAAAGGCCCATCATCTCACCTCTTGGTGGATGCATGATGTAAATGCGGCAAAAAGGAAGAAGACAAAATCAATCACTACTTTCCCATGAAGAACCATGATGAAATTCAAATAGACAAAAAAAAAAAGGGGGGCGAAGGATATAGAGGTAAATTCGCATGGCGGGATCGCGGAGTAGATCACACTGACCTCTTGCTGAAATTCCTCATTCTTCAGCTCAGGCCAAGAAGGCTCGGCGACGATCCATCCCACCACCGCAGACATGGCGACCGACGGAGAGCAAGCGGCGCAGAGGTGAGCCCTCCATAGCCAACCGGTTCTCATTTGCATGCCGTGATTGTTCGACACTGCATTTGGCATCGAAAGCATCCTCGAACGCAGCATCCGCGCTGCTTCGAAGCTCCAAGTCGCGATTAGCTCATCTACAAGAGCGTCGGTCGCGACTCGAATTTCGTTTTACGAATCCGAGACCGATTTCTGACCGGACCTGATCATGCATGCTTCGAACCGAGAAGAAGATCGGCGACGATCGTCGAGGATCGCTACTGTGACGGTGTAGAAACTTCCTGTGCATCGGAACTGAGATTCCTGTCCTCTCTCGCTACACTCTAGCGGGCCGAATCACCATTTTTCTCTGCAACCTTCGCTCGAACGAAGCATTTGCACGTCCCTGGCAGGTGCGCGGTGGTGACGGGAGCCAACAAGGGGATAGGGCTGGAGACGGTGAGGCAGCTGGCGTCGCGCGGGGTGACGGTGGTCCTGACGGCGAGGGACGAGGGGAGAGGGGCGGCGGCGGCGGAGAAGCTCCGCCGCGAGCACGGGCTGACGAACGTGGTGTTCCACCAGCTCGACGTGCTGGACCAGAGGAGCGTCGACGCGCTGGCGGACTTCATCGGAGACCAGTTCGGACGGCTTGATATTCTGGTGAGAGTTATAAAAAAAAAAAAAAGGAAAATTCCAATTTTTTTCAAGGGTGAATTTCTCAAATACCCCCGGACTTAGTTTTTTTTTAAAATGAACCCCTACATTGGACAACTTTATTCGAAATGACCCCAAGCTCGTCCCCGGCCAAAATGTTAGCCAGGGATGGTGAATACGTGCATTCATCGTTCAGTCGGAGAGTTACTAGGAACAAAGTTGTCTACTGTCGGGACTCATTAGCTTGACGAGAAGCATTTGATTCAAAGACAGTCGATTTGATGTTCGAATCATAATGCATTTTATACAAGATAATTCTGGATGTTAGCGGAGTCTCGATGCATATGAACAAGACAATTTGCGTGTAGTGATGAATTGAGTTCGATATCTGAACATCATCTTACAAGAAAAAAATCCACTTGTAAAGTGAAAAACGGACCTTTTGAGTCACTTGATTTTTTTTTTTTTTGGTTGGAATGCCATGCATTGTTGAGTAAATGACAAAAGGGAAGTCCGTGTAGAAGCAGCTTCTCAACTTAGGCTCACGTAATTGCTTGGGCAGGTGAACAATGCAGGAGCATCAGGAGTCATAGTTGATGAAGATGGGCTGAGGGCATTGAACATAGACCCTGCCTCTTGGGTAAGTGACCTCAATTCACACAGTTTCTCATAGCTGGTGTTCAACCCTAAACTGAAGCGAAAACAAGCAGATACACTCACTAGCTTCCCTCAGTTACAATGGCTTCATGCGGGCGATGCTCCTGCCAAGGAGCCGGAAAAGAGAAAAAGCTTCCTAATGAGGAAAATGACTCCTAGCATTTCTAAAGTACTGTAAATGAAAGAATGATTAGATGTCCAAAAAAATTTCCCATTCAGATGACGTATCGACCTTCTCGACCCGTCATTCGAAAAGGTTGTATTTCTACATGAGCAGTAGCGACACGGTCTCGTATCAAGATCGGTGTCCTACTGTATGCCAAATATTCTCAAGTAGAGGACCCTTGGGATGCTACAACATAAACATGGATTGGTTATCACTTATCAGGAGTCAATTGAATATGGCTAATTTGTCTGAATGATTTGCAGCTCTCAGGCAAAGTGGCCAATTTGGTTCAGGGAGCGATAAAGCACACCTACGAGAGTGCACAACACTGCTTGAACACAAATTACTATGGTTGCAAGAGAGTGACTGAGGCACTCCTCCCACTCCTACAGCTCTCAACTTCGGGTGCAAGGATAGTCAATGTCTCTTCCCTCAGGAGCGAGCTCAAGGTAAAGCAAGCATCTTTCTCAAACTCCCTCCTCTTCTGTTTCTAACTTAGAAGTTTCGACCGCCTTTGGAGAAACTGTCTGATGGAAAAATCACTCCGTGCAGAGAATCCCGAGCGAGAAAACGAGGAACGAACTGGACGACCTGGACACCCTGACCGAGGAGAAGATCAACGCGGTCATAAAAAGATTCTTGCACGATGTGAGAGAGGATTCTCTCGAGGCCAATGGGTGGTCGATCATGCTTCCGGCGTACAGCGTCTCGAAGGCCACTTTGAATGCTTACACCCGAGTTCTCGCCAAGAAGTACCCTCACATGTGCATAAATTGTGTTCATCCCGGCTACGTCAACACAGACATAAACTGGCACACGGGGACGATGACCGTGGAGGAAGGGGCGAGAGGTCCGGTCAAGTTGGCGCTTCTGCCAGAGGGAAGTCCCACCGGCTGTTATTTCGATCAAACGGAAATAGCTGAGTTTTGAAGAGTCGAGCTCTTCGTTTGCTCTTGATAGCGAAGCTGCCTTTTGCAATTCCTTTTCCTGCTGTTGGTTCCCAGGTGACTGGCGAAACTTGATGTCGACTTTTTGCTTCACATTTGCGGGGTAATAATTGGTGCAGGATTCTGGTTTTAGATTTCAGTTCAGCCGTCTTGAGAAGAGACAATGTCTTAATTTCAATGCATGTAACAGATCTCTTTCCTATAATTCAACAATATGAAGAATCGACCATCGAATACCAGGTATTAAGTAGCAAATTCTACAGCTAGGCCAAAGTAGAACATTTAGTTCAATTAACAACATCCATTATTATCCGACCACTCATACAAAAAAAAACAGTTCAGACTTCAGAGTGAAGTCCAGGGATGCCACATAAACTTTTCACTTATCCAAGTTAAGCAGTTCAGTGACATTCTTCCCTGTATGATTCGCTTTCCTCATATCAGAAGCACACCATCATAGAGAGTAGACGTGAAGAGAATTAGGTTATCAAGCCTAATGTTATAAGCACAATTATATGCTAACTGTTCAGAATACTTCGGCCACTTTGAGGACGCTATCAAGCAAAAAGAAGGCCCACTCTTATCAGCCTCTTCCATCTGCTTATTTGGGTCAAATGATCTGCTTTTGTTCATGGACTTCCCACCTCAAAATCAATTTACTTTTTCCAAATAGAAGAGACTGCCTATCAAGGAAATAAATCCTGAATATCCAGAATATCAGCGAGGACACCGGCTGCGGTTGTATCATTTCCAGCTCCAGCACCTTGAATGACCAAAGGCTGTTTATTATAGCACCGGGTGTACACCTCCAGCTGAAATGGCACCATCATGAGGTTGTTACAGATCAGATGGCGCAGGTGATATGATCAGTAGCAACATGATTAATGATGAATTCAGTCATGGAAGTTTGACAAGATATACAGTAAAAGGAGATTTTTAATGTTGGCAGAAATGGTTCTTAACATACACCTGCAATTAATATTGTGCTAGAGGGTGAATCAAAGCAAGCGATAACAAATTTTGTTCACTTGAACAGATATTTACGCGGTGAAGGAAATAAAGGGGGTTGCATATTAAATTCTATTGTAGCATAAAACCACAAACTCGCTCTATTTTCCTAAAAAGGGAAATTTCCACACTAAAGCGCCATATGATGAACTTAAACCATGAGCTTTTTTCCTCTTTCTTTCCCATAAGTATGCAACAAGCTCCATTGTCAGAAACGTTGACAAGTTTCAATACACTCATCATTAGATACTGCTAGGGCAAAATTCTCATTGGAGCTCATGCTGTAGATTCGAGCAAGAGTACTACAACTTTGTTTCTCCAAAAAAAACTAACCAGCCTTGTGAGTTGTGACCTAGGAAACCATCTAATAAGCCAAATTGCAAATCCTGTTAAACGCTATACTTATGTCCTTACATTACTAATACTCCATAGAATGCTTCAATAACTATTTCTAGTTCCCCAACAAGTACTTTTGTTTTGTGTGATGAAGTAAATCTTCCACCATAGATTGTTTGAGGGAACTGAAGCTTCTCTTGCTACCTCTTTACACTCTTCCTTCGTCTTTAGTCATCTCGCTCCAGTTATGTGTAATCTTAGCATTGTTTTATTTTTATTTACTTTTCTTTCTCTATGCTGTATGTAAATTTCCAATCTACCAGAGTTTTCTTTTTGATGAAATCCTTCATTATTTATACAAAAAAAGAAAAAAACTTCCACCAGGCCAAAAGAGAGACTAAGAGAAGAAGACAAAACATTGAAAGTGAGCTTAGCTTACCACGTTATCACTTCCTCTCAACCTCCCCAAGGGAGAATCTCTTGGGAGCTCTTGAATTCCAACTTCACACCTACCAAAGGAACTGGTTATTCAATAGAAAGACTGCATGAACTTGAAAATACAAAAAAGTACCAAGTTACCAACATTTCATTCTAAATATGCAAGGTATTTGACTAGTTTAGAAAGAAGATACCCTCCAAGAACTTGACCACACAAAAGGGGGACTAATTCAGATAACTCCCGAGAAGAAGCAGATGAGTAGTCAGAACTCCTAATTTGTTTCTCACATCATATTTGCTCCACCCACAATATTACTTTTTTTGCTTTAGTCAGAAATAGAACTTTGCAAAGTACAATTAAGGTTCTTCACAGATGCTGAGCAGTCCATGCATTGAACATGTCATCTGTAAAGATCAAAGGCAGTGTACCATGCAGGAACCCTGGGTCTCTCAAAAGGAAAAATATAATCCTCAGATTCCAAGGAGTGCCTAATAAATACCAAGCTGCAAACAGAAGCACTTAAGTCTAAAGATTATAGCAACATCCAACTTAGGTATACAAAGTTTCCCAACTACGTATCCCCATTTTCTATTTGCCTAAAGTAAATCAGCTTTGGTCACTTCTCACATAAACATATCCAAAGGTAAAAATAGAAGGCCATGATAAACAAGAAAGCCCCTCTTTTTCTGCTTGTCAACTGTTTCAAAATTCCCAAAAAAACAGAACCAGGCTTGCATCACCAATCTGCTAATATATTCCACATTAGCGACTCTTAAAGTAATTCAGTAAATATACCTTGTTCCTTCTATCACGCAGACATAACGGAGCACATTCCCGCTTATAGAAGCCTTCGCAACTCTTTCGCAGATACTTTTGTCAAGTAAAGGAAGCCCTTTGCTAAGAAATTCATCGACAGACATCGCAGCAGGTTCCATCTCATCTGGGTACAAGCTCTCCACCTACAGAGGTAGGCATCCCTCAGCAGAAGACAAAAAATATGAATCGGGTGTGGTGCTATGTACAAGATGTTTACTGAACAATAGACTGCCGAAATGAGTTAACACGCCATTGAGAAAAGAGAGCGAAGACAACTCTGAGCACAAACCTTTATGCTGTCCATCATGATTCGCCTTCCAAGCAGTCGAGCTAATATTAACGCCTGTTCCAACATTAAAAAAAATCTTAATTAGATACTGCAGCATCACACTCCTCTCCTCTTTTCAGTTAATATTATTTCACTACCAAGGGTTGCAGCCACCTCAGTTGGTTTACAATTACACACTTTGTTAAATGTTAAGTGAGTATCACCCATAAAACTGCAAAAAAAAAAACCTAAAATACCAACTTTTTCCTATTGATGCAAATCAAGAGCCCACAATGAAGGGCCATCCAGCAATATGAGCAAACTTGAAGTTAATACCTATATTTTCCTGTCTAAAATGTACATTTTCGCAACAAATGCTAAATAATGTAAATTTAAGTCATCTTCTACAATAAAATTGCCATCGCGCCATTGAAAGGGGTGGACAGAACAACCGCATTGTTTTTAGTTTCAATAATATCTACAGAAGAAAATCATAATTTTGCTCAATGGACAGTCATGAAATGCATCAATAAGTAACACCTTTCTGGCAACATCCATGCCCCCGAGGTCATCACGTGGATCTGCAATTAGAAATAAAGTTCATAAGATAATATCTCTTAGCATTCATGTAATGATCGCTGCAATGTTCTAGAATACAACCGAAAGGTTCACGTAAGGAAAAACCTGGCTCAGTGTAACCCAAACTTTTTGCAGTTTTCACCACTTGACTCAATGGCTTTCCATCTTCGACCTCACTCATAACATATCCTAATGTGCCTGGCAAATTATATTGCAACATCCATGTATATTAGGAGATACAAAGCTGATATTTACAGGAAGCAGAAAGATATATTCAAAGGTGTCTGCAGAATTGATGCCTGAAGTGTTCGATACCACTCAAACTCCCGACTAAACGATGCACAGGATCTCCAGATGACAGTATGCGGTTCAATGATGCTATGATGGGAAGGCCCGCCCCTACCTACATGATAACATCCAGCCCACGTCTCATTACATTTACACCTTGTGAAGTAAATTAGTAGCACTGTATCAGCGATACATAAGTCAGGACAAAGAAGCAAAAGATCCAGAACAGAACCGATACCACTGAAAATAACCAACTGAAAAGCAGAATCAACAAGCTATGAAATTTGCATGCTGAGCAAAAATTGTTTAATCTAGGTCAGAACGTGAAAATAAAAGCAGAGCATCTGGTGGAAATATGAATAAAGCATGAACCTTCTGCAGTGAGCATTGTCAAGCCAAGAGTAATAAACATGAAGGGAAAAAATCAAATCCTTGCACATCTATAAGACGAGGTCCTCCAATCAATCTGAAGTGGCCAGTAAAGAAAATGACAAATCCATATCAAATGATGCTTCGCTGATTTAATAAGTTCACACACTGTTCCTAGGAATAGGTTGAGAAGCTTTACTTTTCGATTATATCGGCATTGTATTGCAAAATTGAGACATGCACAAATTATTTTCCTAATTAGAAGATGATAAAGCTTTGGGTTTTAAGCTCAAAAGAAACAGAGAAATGCACTTTCGTAGCAGAATGTCAGCAAAATAAACAAGACTGTCAGACTCTCAGCTACATAAGGCACAAACCATACGAATAGGGAGCAAAAAATAAAAAGGATTGATGTATTCAGCTTGAGCCAACGCAACCTGAACAAAAATACAGATGACAGTCTACGGTATTAGTTTGCTAGGAGCTCGTAGGTATCCAGGGAAAAACTTAACTTACAGTTGATTCATGCCGAATCCGACGTGGTTGTGATACAAGTTTGTCGTAATACTCCTGCATAGCAGAAAACAAAAATATTTTCTGACAGTTGACCCAGAGCAAGCAGTCAAAACGGGAAGTATAAGGACCAGAAAGCATTACTTGAGGAATAACTAACAGTAGGTAATGCACATGTTTTTTTCTTAGCCTCACATCTTTTGTAGACAATGATGAGAGATTGGACATGAAAGAGTTTCTCACCATTGTTGAAGTAAGAGGCTTTTTATTTGCCAGGACAATGCAACATCCAAGATCAATCACACGACTTAAGATCTCTGTGGTCTCCGAACTAGCAGAGCAATCAACAACTGCCAAACCTGTTGGTATATATACGTGACTTAGTTGTTCCACACGTTATGAAGTCAAAAAAAATCTCATGTGAATCAATGGTCCAAGTTCAGAACACATGCATAGTCTAAAGTAGCCTGTTTCACCAATTCAAGAAAAAGTAATGCAAAAAAAAAAAAAAACAGAAGGTACGGTTGCTGCAGCTCACGAACCTGTTGATTTACCGAGATGAGACGCAATGTCGAAAACTTTCGCGGTCAATTCAGAATTTGCGAATACTCGACATGCACCTACATCAGATAAAGACATGAGAATAAGATAAGCATGAGCATTGAATTCTGCCCCATCACCATCAGTCGGAAAAAGGAGAAAAATCAAATTACCGAAGCCGCTGAGCTTCGACAATGAAGTACCATCCCCCTTTACCCTGCAAACTTCCAGCAAGAACTTATCATCCAACTCCGACGCGTGCGCATCAGGCGCAACAACAAGCGACTTACTGTCGCACACACCCACCACCCGTAGATGCACTCCCTGCAAGCCAATCCATCCCACTTCTTCCAATGAGCCAGAAGTTGACTCCTCTCAACAACAATTAAAAGAGCAAATCGACTGTTACACAGACAGCATAGCACGCTGCCATTGGCGTAACCCTGGGCATAAGGATAATTACATTCGAAGCGCCAAAACCAAATAAAATGCAACCCAATAGGTTCCGTAACTATTCCGGACAAAATCAAATGCGCTTCATTCCAATAGCTTCGTACAAATCACAAAAGTCGGGATTACAAATCACATGCTCACAGAAAGGTCATCTTCAGATTGCACAGCTCAAACAGACCCGCCTCCGATCCGCCACTCGGACGAAAGCTCACATTTTCAAAACAATTTCACGGGAAAACCCGACATTCACGAGATGTTCACCAGTCGAAATCGGGTGAAAAATGCGGAATACCCAGAGACCGAAACGTGCAAAGCTTAAGCATCGCGATGACTCGGAACCTCGTTGAATCACAGAAGGCGGCGCTAGTCCACGCTACGAAAGATTGCGCAAGATGGAGCGCCATTTCCAAACAGCTCGGAGAGCAGGTGCGAAGGAAGGTGAGAACGAGGACCTGATTGGTGTGAAGCGATCGGCAGGAGACGATGTGGCGGAGGAGGTGCCGGCCGACGCCGCCGCATCCCATCAGCAGCAACGCTATCTTCTTCATCTCTACGCTTCCTTCTTCTCCTTCTCCTTCTCCTTCTTCCACCTCTCTGCTGCTTACTGCTTAGGTTTTGCTCTACCTGAAAACAGTTATCGTGGCCCCGTCTTTAAAAGTGTTGTGTAGGTGCGGAAGCGAAGATCAAAGATACACTACCTCAATTGAATTTGAAAAACATTTTATTGCTTGTATAGCTAGAAATAATTCGAGCGCGAATAATAATCATTCTGTTCTAGAAATCAATCTTTGGCCAGAAATTGATTTTTACATTTCTATTCCATGAACGAGTTTCTGAGCCAAAATACGCGTTTGATAATAATACAAAATTTCTGTTTTCGAAATAGAAATTCGTTTGATAACGAAACAAAATTTCTCCCTCGCGAGCGGCCGGCGAGCGTCGTCATATCGAACCACATGGATCAAGGGGAAGTCGGGGTCGGTGAATGACGTAAGACAACCCACGAATTCATCAGAGCACTGAAGAGAGTAACGGGGGTGGCAGGTGGAGGACTACTCATACTTTTTTTTTTTTTTGGTAAGGACTACTCATACTTATTAATCTATAAAAATTGTAATAATCACAAGAGTGAGCAATAGCCCAGCAATGAAATATCTATCACATTATACTATACGAACATATCATCAAGCAACTCGAACTGGATCATGCAGATATGTAATAAGTCAGCATTAAGACCATACTATCACATACTATCACATATCAGAAGAACTCTCTCTACCATGAATTATAAAATCTAAAGACTAGAAGTCAATGGCAACAGGTGATCATTCCAGATGTAAGAACACACACGAGTCATCTTATTAGTGCTTTAATTCTCAAATCCAAGACAAATGTCCAGTGCGCTTGCCAATCACGCAAGGAGGAACTATCTCTCGTCTAGCAAGGTCCGGTGCGCTATTCGGTTTGCTGCGGTGTACGCTGGTACTTTCATTGGCCCGCGCAAGCTTCGTGGTCCATTGACCACGACATCCTGATCACACTCCCGAGGCATCTAGGGTATTCTCATCCTAGGCATCCAGTTCACACGATCCCTGGGCATCCCGCCATTCCCTATAGGCTCCTCGGGGTATCATCGGTTTACTGAGCGATGGCATTTCCATTATCTCAATCAAGCAATCACTAGCACAAGTAATCTTTCATTCATTACCCAGACTACGAACACAACAATTAATATTATTCAAGCTCACGGTATTATGACTACAACTCTAACGACATATTATCCAATGCCACAATAAGAACCGACAAGAAACCGATATACTGAACATACCATTTAGACTTTACAATTACAATTTGCATTAACAAGCATTCACTTGCAGAACCTAGCTACTACCCTCCTTGAATCATTCATGAATCGTCAACCCACTTGTCAAACTCACTGTTCCGTCGGCCACCAAATGCACGGCTCCTCTTTACCGTGGCTACATCATGCAGAGCAAATAACTTGCATCTTCACCTCGCACCTCGCACGTTACTAGTAGTCGATCTCACTCACACTTGCACGATATTCCTACCCGTTTCTCACTCACGGTTTGGGAACGCACGGCCTCATTGAACCGTCCATGACCCGAACCCTAATACCGAACTACCTGTCTATCCCCACCGTGGCTGCGACCTCTCCCGTTCGCCCAAAGAACTTCACAACCATTCTCTGCATTTCACTCACGTTCAGAATCACTCACCGCCAACTCAATCCAAACTTCGTCCACGGCTCCTTGAACCGCATCTTCCACATTCACACCGAATTAATTCGCACTCCCGGATTAATTACCAACCGAACTTGCCGTCCCCCTCTTTTTCAGTCGCGGCTCACTCCCAACAGACCTTACTGCCCGTTCACGGCTCAAGCCACCATACTAGCACTCACTACACCCGCCGTGATCCCAATTCAACATACAAGTGGTTATCGAATAGTATAGGGTGGTAGAACTTCACTTGCCTTAAGTGTCAACTTGGCGCGATTCTGTTTTGGGGCGTTCCGACTCCGGGTGGGTCACTCCTTTCGGCTCATGAATCGGAAGCATTCTGCAGCGAGGTGCAGAACAAGCAGCAGCGTTGATGGCGGAATGATCGAAGAAGAGAGGAAAAGGAGGAGAGTTTGGTCGGGAAATTGGAAGGAAAAATGAAGGTTGTTTGTCCCCCCTTCTGCATGCAAGGGTGAGTGGCGTGTGGCGGTGTTGGCGTGACGGCTGGACGGGTGGCAAGGGGAGAAGTCAGCGTGGCAAGAAGGGGAAAAGGGAGGGAAAGTGGCGGATGGTGGTGTGATGGAGGGGGAAAGGTGATGGCGTGGCATGGAAAAGGAAGATGGCAGAATGAATGTGGTGAAAATGGAAAAATGGTGGGGCATGGAATCGGCGTGGAGGTGGTCTTCCGGCCCATCGTGGTTTGAACTCATCTGCTTCATGCTTCGCGTCGTGGAGTTTGAATTCAAGCAAATTCACACGACGGGTATTTTTATCCGTAGAAAAATATCGTCGGTTTTTTTGGATTGTTTGAAAAATCGGGATATTTTTGTTTTACGAGCAAAATCTCAGGTGCAATTTCTGGAACTTGGCCTACACTACGGGAGTATATAGAGCAAATCTTTGCCGGCCTAACCAAAGAGATCGCAAATTTTTCCAAAGTAATTGACAGTAATAGAAAATGACAAGAACATTTTACAATCTCACGTGGCACCCACCTACATACAAATGAGGGGAAATATACCCCGGCTCGAGCCGAGGCTTAAGTACATTTATAACTCGATTTCCTATACAAGTTGAACACAGAACGAAAAATTTAACATTCAATTGAGTTCGAATCAAGTTACAAGCAGCTAGCATGTCGTTCGGGACAGCCTCAAGCTCGACATCGCGTCAGTTTCAAATCAGCTCAACTTCGCCCCGAGGTAGAGGTATCGAGTTCGGACCATCGACACGAAGCTACTGCCTCGGAAAAGGAGGATTCAACTAATTCAACCCAAAGCGTCAAACAAAAATGTACATAAAACTTCTGATTCTTGGATTAAAATTAATAAATGAAGTATTCAGATGGCATTTTATGCTTAGTCAGAATTAAAAGGACAATGACCATTCGACCTCCCAACCTTAAAGTTCACAACCATAATCAACCTTTTCTTCTTTCAATTAAATGGAGCTGGACAGCGATTAAAAAAAAAAAAACATCTCAGATTTCTAGAATACATGCAATTGAACGCAGCAGAAATCCAATCATTCAGCAAAATGTTCCTGCCCACTTATCCTTTTACACAAGACTGTCATAATGAGATCGGATTATTGCGAACCCGGGAAAACCATTCGGAGAAAGCTTGAATCCTAATGAGACGGCTTGTTCTATGACTTCACCACTCTGCCGGTGCTGTCGCCTACAAACTCCTATAGTCTATGACTGTCACTTCGTCCTCTGGTGCATCTAAGTCTTGATAACTGCAAACACATTGAAAATAAGTCAGGCCAAGCACATAGAAGTCTCACACATATCTCATGGCACAGTTATCCACTCGAGATACCAATGGTCAATCAATATCCTATATTTAGGCGTCTTGTGGATCAAGACTTGAAGTTTGATGAAGTAGTGTGATACGATTTATCTTTACTATTTTGATGTGATGAATTACAAACCGGTGGCGTATTAGTTCAACAGATACACCGTTAAGTCGATAGATAAGCTTGCAATTTATTGTCTCACATATTTGCTGGATAGATTTTCAGGCCTTACAGCAAATTTTGACCACAAAATTCGAACAAGGCAGGACATCATATACCCAGACCAATGAACAACTGAAACAATAAGCTCAACAGCAAACAAGTTGCATTAAGCATCATGATGAACTAAATAAGAACATGACAGAATATTATGTCTGTGGACATCTAAATTACCTTCTTAGCCGTCGAGGATCCTGCCGAAAGCCTGGAAAAGATGCAATAATTGGGGCAGGACCACTTAACTGCGGCCCAGGTCGACCATTTCTCCCCGCGCCTTCAAAAGGAGGAGGCGCACCCTGCTCTCGGAACATCTGCATTGCAACTTCAGGAGGGGCGGGAACAAAAGGCCCCAAAGGACTGCAATTACAGTCACATAGAAATTATGAGATATAGAGACCAAAAAAAAAAGCTTTAAAACAGCATAGTTTCACAACAGACCAAGGCATCAATCCCAGAAAGATCAACCTACCCAGCACCAGGAACAGGCATCAATACTGGTGGAGGAGGAATATCCGAGGCAAAAGGAGCAACATGAATGCCTTGTCCACCAAAAGAATCATACATGGGGTCATCTCCATCCCCTCCATCCGCACCATCTTTATCAGCTGACTGTGGATTTTCAGATCTATCAAATCTCTCACCACCATTGGCTCGGTTGTCACGCTCTCTACGAATGCCACGATCATCTCTCAATCGATTTTCTAAACCCAGCCTGCGTCTCTGTGGCCTGTCTCTCTGCACAATGAAAATTCAGCAGTTTATGGCAATAGCAATGGCAACAGCAATTGCAAATGACGTCAATAACTATTCATAAAAGTGCAGTTAGCATTTTGCTCTGACCAAGTTTCCCAATTATCAATGTCCAATGGATAGATAATTCTTGAATCCACGAATATGTTTTAGATGCAGCCTACTCAACAATCATTGATCTTTTAAATATTACCCAAAGTAACTCATACCAAAGCAATGACTGCAAGCAAACATTGACATGCTCATCCAATTTGCTTAGCTATTAGCAAGCAAAAATGGCAAAATGGCACAGATATATCAATACATCCATTCTTCATTGTGCACGTCTCATATTCGACCCAAAAGATGCTTCTTTTCTAAATGCTATAAGCATTTTACATGTGAATGACTTCTTTTCCTTAATAAAAAAATAGTCACTTGAAAAGACAATTAAATCTCGATCTTCACGTATCTTCATCAGATGTCTTGAATTAGTTTCAATTAAGAGGTGTTTTTGATGTGCCTCGTGTTCTTGCCAGCCCTCTCCATTACCAAACAAGTTTCCTTCAAACAAGAGGAGCCTAAGTTGGCCCATCATCTATATTTGTCCTATCGCTAAGAACTATAAACATGCCTCC